TAGAATTTTCATAAAAAGGGAGCTTTTATTTTGGAAATTTCAAGAGCAGCTATTACATTTAAACATACGTACCAAAATGCTATCACTTTCAGACATTTCAAGGAAGCAAATAAACGAGTATTTCGGGTCAAAACGCGGGTGATTAAAGTGCTATGAGAAACTTGTCCAGGAATTTATTCGAAAGAAAATGATATTAATTTGATCAAAGTGCTGAAAGCACTTTTATACACACATTTGCAACTGCAAGCTTTGTTTAACATGTATTTTATTTTATTCAAGGTACTATCGTCATTAGGGATGATAAACCAGTAACAAGGGTTAACGTTTTGGTTCTGTATTTAATATTATAGAACGCCTATATACCTATTCGAATATTTAAATTTTTGTCACAGACCTAAAAAAAAAAAGTTCCATGTTTAAATATAAAATTCTGCTTAAAGATCCAGTAACGCTATTTTTTATGTTATTTTATTTTTATCATAAATCTGATGCTCAAATGAAGATTTATCAATATTGTATGTTTTAAAAAGCATTATTTCTAGAGTTATTACCGAAATTAACATTTCATGTACATGTACATAAATGGGTACTTAGTAATTTATTTTCTATAAAGTCTAAGCCAGTTTTTTAGATAAAATTTGAATTCCAATGTACATGTATACTTGAGTACCAGGGCTTTATACATGTTTATTGACAAGTATGACCAAGTACTACCAAATCTAATTCTTACTTTTTAAATGTTTGTAATAGTTGTGCCTTGCTTTTAATTTGGAAATGTTATTGTTACAAACGAATTTTAACATCAAAATACAGAAAAGTGAGCGACCGAAAGAAACTTGTTAGACTGCACAGATGTGCTGATTGGCTCTAAGCTAATCACTTTGGATTCCAGAAGAATAAAGGTTAAGAGATGCTAACACAGGCTTCATTCTCTGAAATAGAGAAACATTCACGCTTTATTCAGTGTAGTTTTGATCATTAAATAGAAAATGATGAACATATAAATAAAGTTTTTTAAATGTTGATGCTGCACATCAAAGACGCCGCCAAATGATGTGAACAGTCACAGGTTATTTACAAAATAAGTCTAAGAGCGAGGTTTGGTGCACCATTAACCGGTTTAAACTCCCCAGCAGTCATTATTATGCTGCTGACCGTTCCAAGGCGGCGCCCCACTGTGTTCCTCAGATGTATGTCTATGTTGTTTCATACTGTTTTGGTGACACTTTAGCTTGTGTCCCTTGTTGTTTTCTCGTCTACGGTAAGTATCTTCCCCATTGCCTGTAGTTTTATTTCTTTGATTAACCCCCCCCCCCTTCCCCCGGTCTCATGTCCCATTCCCCTTTGTGGGCCTATTATTATTTTCTTTGAATTCCTAATCAGTTACAAATTATTTATAATTTAATGATTAACCTGTCCGTGCTCTGTCTTTGCCCTGTCCTGTTTTTGTTTGGGGTCCGCCTGGGCTCCTTGCCATTGGTTCTTGTTGCTGGGTCATATGGGGGTTGCGTTCATTGAACGCCGCCTTTCCTTGTTGATCTTGTTTATCATATTTTTTACAATTGTTCTATATTAAGGTGCATATCCGAAGCTCTAATCAATTTCTCTGATTGTCTGTTGCGACAAAGATTGAAAGGTCTGTGAGAATTTGTCCAGTTCTTCATCCCAGTGTTTTCTTGTCCTTTGCAACCATAGACTCGGATATTTCAGTGTTGAGAAAAGAAAAACGATGAAGCCGGTGCTAGGGAGCCTATGAGATTTTGCACTTTTCATAATCTCTCATGGCTACACTTAATTAATTCAAGACGGCAATATTCAACTATTTGTCTTTACTTAATTATTTTCGGAGAATGTTTCACGTGTCCGTGACTCCAAAGTTATGGGTAATCAGATTTCAAAATATAGATAGAAAAATGGAATTTGTAATGCAATTTTGATTGGTTTGGTTAAAAAGAATTATTATTATTATTATTATTATTATTATTATTATTATTATTATTATTATTATTAATCGTGCCCAATAATATTCACAAAGAAATAAAAACCTGTTATAAGAAGTACAGTATATCAAAAGAGTAAAGATCACTTGTTCTCGCAAATTCGAGGAAATGCTTTATGTTCCCTTCAGCATCGTTTCTGTCTAGTGTGCAAACCTGCTTTAACAGCGTAATGACATGCCATTGTTTGCCGGTTAGTTAACCACAATTCATACAGCCGTGTCTATATATAGCATATGCATCTTTCCGGATGCATGCAGATGGGATAAATTAAATGAATTTTTGACTGAATATTTTAAAGGGACTCCACCGAGTTTCCCGGAATAATTATTCTTATTGTAGAAAATGACAAAAAATGGAATATCTTTGCAACGCTTTTCACTCAAACGGGCTATCAAAAACACAAAAAATATGATTTCTAATATATTTCTGAGTATATTTCTTGATTATCTTGTGTAGTTATTGTTGTTTTATTTGCCACAGCTGATCTATGTAAGAAATTCAAATATTACGTTTTTAGGTTTTTGGACCTCGGTAGAGTTCCTTTAAAGTTGATATTAAAATTTCGGCTTTTTTTCACAGACAGATCTTCTTTAATACTATAGTGACATCAACTTTAGATGAGTAACACGATGGCGCCCGGTGTAAATTATCTAAATCAGAAAAGAGCATTCATGTCAATATATCAAATTTGAAAATAATCAAAATACTGGTAATCGAACAATTCAATGAGCACAAGGAAAAAATTCTTAAAGTAAACATTGAAATTGTAAAGGCATGAAAGGCCTGTTTCAATGAATATTTTGAAAAAATTGAAAATACCTTGTGTTAGAAAGCTTTATGTCAATATAAAAAGTGGTTACTGCTGAATTGTGACCGCAGCGAGACATCAAAGCCTAGTTAAACAGTTATCTTTTGACATGTTTTAATTAATTCGATTAAATCAAATTTATTTAAACGCGATTTTGAAGGGTGCTCTTTCCTATTTTACGTTTTTTTCCATCTCATTCTTTACAAGAGAAAAAGCTAAGAGTAGTTTATGTACACATGTTCTTTAACTTGTCATAATTAATAAGCATATCAGTTTCAACTAATAGTCCTTGGTGAAACTGCAAGATGAAATCTTATAACTTTGTAGAAACGTAAGGCAAACGTCAAAGGCAAAGCCAAAGTCGAAAAATCTTTATTTTTCACAACAGTTCACAAAAATGGGTTCAACCCCTGTCAAGGGCAAGCCGTTGTTTCCTTGAGCAAGAAACTTTACATTCATTGCTTAGTACTGGTTGGTTCCAGGAACGGATTCAAGAGTGTTTCACTAAGTTTTTAGCTTTCAACACAATCGAAGTAAAATAAATTTGAATAAACTATAAACTATAAACCCAAAATGGCCAACATGATAGTTTGTATCTAGTGCCTTCTCAAAAATCATCATTCCTTGTAATTAAAAAACACAAGAAACACATAAAACTGTTTATACATTATTAAAAAGACGGTGCTAGGGGCGTAGACGGTAGCTTACACTTATCACTACCGTCCACGAATAGGCTAAATCAATCTGAACATGCAACATTTCAAAGTTTACCGTTTTGCGTGTTCTTTATAAGCACACTATGCTAAGAAAATCAATATTTTTTAATTCTTTAGAAAGGTCTTCTTTGTGGGTGTTTTTTTATATTTTGATAATGAATTTAAAGCATTTTAGATGTTAAACAACAGCAGAAAGGAATGAGTTGTAAAAGAAGATAGCAAAATATAAACAAAGTAGTATTTTGACTTCCATACAACTTACTATAATTATACCATTTGACAAAGGACAAACGAAGCAAAATGTAGCTAATCTGTATGGTAAAAAGATACCAAATTTTAAAAGGTTTTAAGAAATAAAAAAATAACAGCATTTTAAGGGTTTCGTTTCCTTAAACAAGTCAATGGCGGGTCGAAATATTAGAAACATGTTTTTTAGAGGTGAGGACGTAGCATATTAACAAATAATTCATTAATTCATCATAATTATTCACTAGACAAAACTTTTATGATAAGGCGCATGTATTATACATAAGTCCTTGGTACAAAAAAATATTGATGTAATAACTGAAAAAAGTATGATTTATATTTGATTCGATTCCTTTTAAGTAATCAATCAGCCTTAAGGTCCATACCTAAAATGTGTACCCGACAAAGACTCTCGAGTCGAAACATTGTTTTTTTTAAATAAAACAATACATTTGTAAATTTAAACTGGAGATGATTTCCATATTCAAACTTACTTTTTATAATAAAAGTAGAAAGATGGGCTAACTTGTCGGTTTATGTAACTTAGCAATGCTCTTGCTCTCAAGTAATTGTGAAAGGTTATGTCCTTGAAACACAATGCAAAAGTAAACAGATACATTGTAGCTGAAAATACCAGACTAGACGTAATTGAGTGTGGTCATGAGATATAATGGAAAAGGCAACATCCCGCAAGCACCCTAGCACCGGCTTAAGCGGTGTTGAATCCTCGACGTTAAGCGTATTTGAACCAATGATCCAAAGGACCAGAAAAACATAGAAACTCTAAAGTTAAAGTACGTGGCAACTTTCTGAAACATAGGGCTTACTGTACTTGAAGTTTTTTTTCTTTTTAAAAAAGGGGTAAAATACAATGTATATAACTAGATGTAAGTATACTGTACTCAGTTGGTTAACATTTTTGATTTATTTTATTTGGATTTCTGGCTTATACCAGTCAGTTTACAAACATTATTTTGTCCATGATCTTGTCCAAATGTAAGGCTCTTTTTGAAGGAAGATGTTAAAGGTTGTCTGTTTTCATTAATTCATTGAAGACCTTAATTGATTTAATTTCATTCAGTATCGCATCTAATTGGTAAATATTACAAAACCAAACGACCAATCATTTCTCATTGGACAACAGCGTTTAGCTCCCCGAAGCCCCGCCCTCTATTGTCGTGAATACAGCAGTTCGTCAAATCATTGACAGACCGAAGTTTGTCATATTTTAATGACATACAACAATATATTTAGGAGCTTCTTCACGTGGTGGAAGTCAACAAAATTTGATTTTATGACATTTGTACAGCAAAATAATCGGATTGTGTATGTCCTGGGAATCGGTGGGATTATTTAGCTGATTACGAGATCCCATTTTCGACATATTGTTTTATCAGTCACGTAAATGAACGGGGAATAGACGTCAAATTTAATCCGGACCGGCACGGAAAATGATTATAGACAGGGACCATTGAGAAAGATTAGGCAGGAATTGTGTTAGCTTGATTAGAACATAATTTAGAATATTGTTCCTTCTGCTTGATTTATGTTCTAAGGGATATATGGATGGAGAGATTTGGCGCGATTTTCTTGGCGTTAATTAATTCGCTTTTATGTTCCTCCGGACACATTTTGTCAAATTTATCAATCTTTCCTTGTTATATTGTCATAAAAGAGTATATTGTGATATATTTTCTGTTCTTTTAAAATCGTGTGACTGGGAATTTATATCTTGAAAAAGAAAATTAATTCATTGATTTATTATAGACAAATTTCAATTCATACGGGAGGAAATAACTTCATATAAAGTATAAGTCACGAAAATTATTTACTTGTGAGTATAAAGCAACAAATTTGATAAGACAATGTGTTAGTTATTTTCTATCCCAATAGTTGTTAAAAACTAATTTCAGAACAAGTTTGGAGTACATGTATGTAGTAACAATCTTTGTGGAAAGCTACATTTTGGGTTTCTTTATTTCATTACAAGCAAATTTTTATTAGGTATATTTTAGTGTTAAAAGAATTGTTTCGCTATTTTACTGCTTTTGGCGCATTAATTTACGGATGGCTACTAGTGCTGGGAACCAATTTCCGGCATTTCACAGTATCGACGCATTGCTAGGTGGCACAGAAACGGCCATGTATGGGCAACAGTATGTCCGAAGATTTCCTCTTGATCCTAAAGGCTATATGGAAAAAACCTTGGATTTAAAACCGCAGAAGGGTTTTGGACACGGCATACCTCTGAATGGCCATGGTGACTCACTACAGAAACACAAAAAAGAATCAGGTAATTAATTACATATTAAATGTTACAAAACAACTCCACAACACAACAAATATGATTTGCATTAAATTGGCGTCCAAGTAAATACCATTATTAAAACATGAAGGCGTTTTTAATCTTTCAGAACCAGTTCTTTCTTAAGTATAAAAGACAAGATGAAGTCGGGCGGTTTATTTCTTTGGAACAGGTTATATTTAGTTTAATCATATTTTATTGCATTTCTTTATTTCTATACAAAACAGATACAATGTCACATGCTTACATAAGACAAAACATTTACAAGTAAATTTACAATATTTACATGGATGTTTTTAGTTGTTCATAAAAAGCAAAAGGGTGGAACAACAAATTTTAACTAAGAGAGTTGACCCTTCCCAGATTAAATGTAGGCAAAGGTCCATACAATTTGAGAATGTACAAGCTTAAACATTTACGACTAGTGTCCAAGTGAAAAATATACAATTGTTTTGTTTGTTTATTTGTTTAACTTATCATCGCTTTAGAGGAGCGCTGTATTTTTTTTGCAACTTCTCCTTCGTATACAGCTGAAGTTTTAGGGTGAGGACAAACTTTAACCCTTAATCTAAAACTATATCGTCATGGAAGTGTGATAATTTAGTTTGGCAAGAATGTATTGTTTTTTTTTCTAGAAAAAGGGTACCACACAACTAATTAATACGTCATGGATACGTTTAAAGCATGTTTAAAACAAAACTGAAAATAATTTTAAAAATGCGTTTTTCGTTTAATTGTGATGGGTTTGCGTCCTATTTTCTCAAGGCAATGTCTGATGCAAATGATGGTGTTGAAAACATAATGTTTACATTGAAAAAAAAAATCATTTTCATGTTTTATTATAATTATTATAATAATTAATACTTTTGTGTAGATTTCTTTTTATTGTTATATATTTTTAAACTCGTGATTATGTTGTAGTTACTTTATTTAAGATAATACTATATAAGGAGTATACATACATAAAGTAGTCCAGCTTATTTTTTAATAGCAACGATAGTGATTCAAGGAACGAGGTACAGATTACACGAAGAAAAAATATAAACAATCATCGTCAAATTCTTAATAACTTAAATTACCTTGTTTTATTTTTTCTTTTTTTCTTCTTTTTCGTTTGCTGCTGTACAACTTATTGTATCTTTTAATCTGCTGTAAAAGTGTGGTTGACAGCTTTATTTTGAATTGGAACTTCAAGGAATTTCACTATCGAAATGCAAACTGACCTGCCAGCCTAGAATGCATGAATGTCCGTCTGTACGGGTGTAAATGTTGATATATTTCCGGTTTATATTGTATTATTTTGTATTGAACTAATTTCAATTTGGATTCATATAGAAACCAGGTAACCCAAATATACAAAAAAAAACATATTTACACATATATACACATTATAGTATTAAATATATCATGGTCTTAAGCAAATGTAAATATTTCAAACGTAAGTAAGCGCATTCATTAATTCTTTATATAATACATGATATACATGTATAATTTACACAACTGCATTTTCTTTCTCTCTCTCTCTCATATTTGTTGTACAACGGTTGAAATAGAAATGCCATTTTGTGGTCGTAAAATAAATACACTTTTTTTTCGGCGTGTGCTCTAAATGAATCCCACATCAAGTACATATTTTAAAGAGAGCAAACATTTTTATTAATAAGATTTTCTTTTCGGTTTCATCAATAATAGAAATTATTTTCCACGTAAATAATTGAAATGACTATTCAATATTTTGATATTACAGTTTGTGTTCTTTCTCCGCCCTAAGTATCAGGTGACAATAACTTCGTCTTTAAAATTCATGAAACATTAAACGTAACTTTTTTTTAACAAACTTAAGGTACAAATTAATTTAATTTGCTATTTTGTTAAAGTATTTTAACCTATGTATGATGCATACCCTTATATCATTTATAAGTACTGACCTCGATGCATCTAAAATTTCTTTCCCAAAATGATTCAGTTGTTCAAATGTTTAAGTATTATTATTATGACTGTTTACTGAAAGAAATTATACATGTTTATATTTGTGTATTCATGTAAATATATGTAAATAAATAAATAAATAGCGGGTGTAACCTTAGGTATTTTTTCATTCAATTTTAAACTCGCGCATTCATAGAACAATGACCAATGGTGAATTGGAAGTTTTCCTCAAGGAGCATATAAGTACAAATTAAAGAGATAGCTAGTTCTAAATCTACGATGATTTTAGGATACAATTATCGTATAATACATGTAGTTATACAGGCCATTATTTTGATACAAATATCGATGCTACGATTTAAAAGCTGCTAATCAACCTATCATCACCTCGGTATCTTTAAAGCTGCATACCTCCAGATGAGCCAAGATATTTTCAAGAAAATCAAATTTGAGATAATTGTACTGATATTTAAAAAAGTAAAAAGATTAAAGGTTCAAGTAATAATTTACATGTTATGTGCAATTAATGACTGATTTGATTTTGCAGTATTTATAACCATGATCCTACTGCATGGCTAATGCAGTTAGGGGCTATTTCGGCATATTTTGACCTCTTCTTGGAAATTTACGTGGATTGTTTGCGCCGTTTGTAATGTATAGATTAACTTCTTTGTTCACTCGGAATTGTCATGAGAATGAGCACGAACCTGGGGGTATGCAGCTTTAAATGTTTCTAAGCAAACATCAAGTAATGATATAGTTTTGAGGAGTTTAATAATATAATGCCTTTTCGGGTGTTAAACTTGCTGGGTAAAATTGGGTGTTACTCAAAACATGTTTAACAAAGAATTTCAAGGATGGATATAACCTTGTCTAAAGTGGATATATGATTATTTCTTTTAAATGTAAATATCAAGAGGCGTTGTATTGAGCAGATTTGATTTTTTAATAGATCTGATTTTTTATCGCGTAAAAGTAAAGCCACATATTTGTAACTGTTTTCTAGAAAAAAGGATAAATTTTATATTATTAGAAATTATGTTCATAAAATGTTTTAAAATAAAAATACCAAAAGAAAAGGGTAGTATTCATATCCCAGACTGTACTCCTGAATATGATATTACATATTTTTCGTTTTCATTTAATTTTATTTCAACTTTTCAAAACTGCAAATTATTTCAGTTTTTTTTCAAACAAATATATGTAACAATACTTCATTAAAATTATAGTGGTAAAAATTTTCAATTATTTAATGAAAGAATATTTCTATTTTTAGAATGTAAATAGAGGTAAAATGGTTTCTATAATATGTTTCAAAACAAAAGATTTCCTCGTTGCTTTTTCTGAAATGCAAATATTATTTACGTGTTGTCTGTAACTTCTAAAGGACTCGGACTTTTGGGTTTTAAAGATTAGCAAAATCAGTTTTTCTAAAATACAGAACACACAAATGTGTTGATTTAATAAAAACAGTTACAAAAGTATATCAAAAAGGTCAAGTGGCATAAATCAATATGATATGTTTTGGTACAATCACTCACAAAAAGTATTCAAATAAAAAAAAAAGCTGCATATGCTGATGTGTTTGAATTAAGTTTTAAAATTTATTTCTAGAGCAACCAAAACTGTATTCACCTTCGTCCAAAGACCAGATGCAACGAAAGAGAGAAAAACACGTGACCGAAGCGGAAGAATCTGAGGCCCGCAAGAAGACCAGACGCAATCGAACTACTTTTACGACATATCAACTGCACGAGCTTGAACGAGCGTTTGAGAAATCACATTACCCGGATGTATACAGCCGTGAAGAACTTGCACTAAAAATAAATCTCCCAGAGGTCCGAGTTCAGGTAGGTTAGAAACATATATGCTAATCAAAGCGCTGAAAGCACGAATGATTTGGTACCCCAAGTTGCAAGCAAGTCATACATATTCGATCAAAACTGATTACAGTAAGCATGAATTAAATCAAACCCTATATCAACTTCTCAATTAGCATGAAAGTATATAAAAATTATGGAAAAGTAAAAAAAAATCGTTATCGGTTTCTGAGTAGCAATTGTGTTATTTTTAGCACATCAAATGTGCACATCAAAATATCATGAAAACCTCAAATATGTTCTTTCGATAGCGCAACATAGACATTACGCGCCTTTCTTTCATTCTCGTGCTAGACTTTCACGTTTACTGATTCAAATATGTATGAACTCAATGGCAATGTGGTGATCAACCTTTTAAAATTTATATTAATTTAATTAATTAATAACGTTTATTTTGTTTGTATTATTTTTGGTTTTTCGTACTTCTTAATTACGATTTTGTATAAACTCGTTCACCTTAATTTCTGAGGCTTTGCAATAAAGATGGAAATGTGTTGAAGGCACATTAAGCCTTAAAAATGATTACCATTTTTTCTTGTGAAGAAAAGGCAATCATGTTTGTAATAACACCTAAATAATGGATTTAGAGCATGTTACATATTTACCACGTATAGTAAGCACTGTTAAATATGACCTAATTTGTTGTCAGAGAAATAGCAAAATGTAAACAAAGTAGTAATTTTTTTCTTCATACAATATTTTAAATCACTTTAACTTTATTAATGGGCAAAACGCAACAATCTGATCTCCTCGGCTGTTATGCTTTGCAATAGACTTCTGACATAATAAGGCAACATATTGGAACTATTTCAGTAATATGATTCCGCCAGTTTGTGTGTTTGTTTATGTTATGATGTCAATTACAAAGCACTATTTAATGTTTTCCTTTAATATCAATCGGGTCAATTGAAAAAATGACAGAAGACATCATAAAAAAAGGAATATTATAAATACGGAGGGATTTATCATTTTTTACTTTCTCGCGAACGAACATTGCCTCTTTGGGTTCTAGTGCCCTACGTACGAGGCCTTTTATCGGAAGCATACGGGAAGATCCGATGTTTTCAACATTGCAAATACAAAAGATGTCTATGACGTAATAAGTCTCGTTTGCGAAAATTTAGCATTTTTTGGCTAAATTAACCTCAAGCCGGTGCTAGGGTGCTTGAGGGATGTCGCACTCATTCATTATTCCTTATGTACATGATGTACAGACTCAATCAAACCGAATCTGCAATTTTCATGTAATTTTGTTGTGATTAATGCTTCCGAGGGATCACTTTGTTTCCAGATTATTATGTATTAGATAGAAGTGGTCATAATTTAACTCAGTATTTGTTACAAAAACCTTCAAAAGACGATTCTTTCAAACTCTTAAATTGAATACATTACAATGTCCTATTTTTTAGTTTGTTTTGTTACCTTTTTCAATTTTTCTCTGGTCATTTAAGTTTAGATATTTTGTTTTTGTCAACACATAATATGTAGGCCGGTATACCACAAAAAGTTATGTCTGCGGAACATAAACAAAGACAAAATTAACAGTATAGCGGTTTGTTCTATTTCTATGGTTGAATATCAAAAAAAAAATATGTCATTTATTTTCGAATAAGTTACACGATAATATTATAAAAAATGCATTGATAATTCATTACATGATGTCATACTTTATACATGAAATGTTTTAAGTGAAATTATGACTTCAATTCATCCCAAATAATCCCACAATAACAGAAGAAATATCCTCCATTGTTTATGAAAGCTAACTACAAACCAAGAATTTCCCCTCCGCCCTTTTTTCACAATGATTTAATTTTCGTTTTCGCGCTGAAGATGTCAAATTTGTAAATCAAATACTTCAACAGATTATGGTTTCACTAATGAGCTAATGGGCTTGTAATGAGATAAAGAAAGCCCCCTTTTAGATTCCCTATCATCCCATCTCCACGGCTAGACAAGCCCGGTTTCAAGAAGTCTTAATTGATTCTTATACGGTAATTTACTAAAAGGCACGGATAATGAAATTTGCTTTATGCATCTCAAATTCCAAATTAATACTGTTGGTTGTAATAATATAAATTTGCAAAATCCTTCCTAATTTGTCTGGTCTCTGTCAACAATTTAGACTTTACCTCGCGAGTCAAACATCTTTATTGATGCTTTATTGGCGAGTCTCTGGAATTTTCACAGGGGTTTGACACTCCCTAGTTCATTGTTTGATATTATTAATCACGACTAAATCAAATGGGCATATTTAGTTTTTGGGAAGTTTTTTCCTTCTCTTTTCATTGCTAAGAAATGAATAAAAATATCGGTAAAGGCGTGTTATATAATGGTGTTTGTATCATTTTTTTAATGAAGAGAAACGGTTTTAAACAACACTTAAAAATATACATCTGTTTATCATGAATTGATATACCCTAAAAATGGGTTCCTTCTTTGTTTACTTAAATAAGTACCAGCGGGCCTTTAGATAATATGATATTTTCGGTGACGTCAGGGGTCCGACAAAACGCATAGTGACTGCCTGAGCGGGCACAATTATATTTTTACAGGATCGCTAAAATTAAGTAGTGTAGATACCGCAAAGAAGATTTTACAAAGCCGGCATCATACAGGCTGACTTCCAAAAGTTTTCAGTTCATATTACCAGACATGTTGTTATATAGATACTAATTATGATTTATTTTTACAACGAACTCTCATTTTTAGTAAAGCGCGGTATAATATAAGAAATAGCATACAGAACTTCGGGCTTAATGGCACAATAGTGGCGTCACAGTCAAGTCTCAAACATTAAACAGACCTCAGCCTTCAGCTTCGGTCTCGGGCCGTTACATCAGTACGGACTAATTGATCAGTCACTATAATGCTTTTCGATCCAAAAGCATAACTTTTTTTATCATATCACAAGTCCCTGTGATTTTTTTACGCGCAAGTGTCCAATACAGCTGGAGTGGTACCCGTTGTGTTGCGCCCGGGGCGCTTATCGCCGCGTAACAATGGTGGGCGGGGATACAGCTCTAACGCTGTATCGTATTTAGAGAATAGCAATTATACATTTGAACGCTTAACAGTCGGAAAATGATTCCGGGTCATTGAAAAGCTAAAATAAGACTGAAGAGGCTTTTAAAAGACAGTTAATTAAGCCTTACCACGTCGTTTACTAGCCCACTAGTTCAAACAAGTCAGCCATTATGATATTATCAACTATATTTGAATGAAGTTAATGAACAAGTACTCATAGTCTTGTCCATAAATACGAGTCTCTCAACATTTGATAATTCGATATTAATAGTACAAATAAAAAAGATAAAACCTAGTTTACAAGCCTTCTGTATTATATGTTGACCTGAGATAACATTTTTTAAAAGGGGGCGGGGCGTTTATATATGACTATTAGGACATCTGAACTTTATTTTTAGTCTGGACAAAGGCTGGACTTTTTATTTTATTCTGAAGAAAAGCAACTGCAGAAATAATGACAAATAATTAGTACTCTAATTTTTACTTGATATAGAATTTTATGATGTTTAATAAGCAAAAACAATCTTTTCTTACCTTTCATGATTATGTCCTTTTTCCTAATCTCATCTTTATATGAATAATTAATGAACTAGAACTTTGAATATTCTCTAAAGTACGTTTTAACAAAGAGCTATATCTGTATTATAAGTCTGTGGTTTTAACGATTCATTTTGAACCACAGTAACAAAGTTAACACAAAATAAATATGTATATAAATAAAATATAAATAAAACCTTTTTTCTTCTTCTTCTTCATTTTTTTTTCAAAGTGGTAAGAAATTAGCTTTATCGATCTTAATATGAAAAGACAATGGTTGGAACAAAGAATCAACAAATATCAGATTAACGATTCATAATTTAATTCTATCCAATCATAATTTCTTTCTTGTGGTAAAAACGACCAACAGAAGAGACACTTGTTTCATATACTAGTAGCTATTCTAATAAAATAACATTATATTACATGAATGACATTTTTTAAAGTTATCTTCTTAAACTGAGTGAAGTAAAACGATCTTTATGATTAATTAAGTAAATCAGATTAGGGTTGTTCTGTTACTCTTCGTTTAAACATAGTTTAAGCATAGCAAATGGCATATAAACGTTTGTTGTTGTTGTTGTTGTTGGTTGTGAGTGTGTGTTTAAGATGTCGTCTATATTAATTACACATAGGCTCGCATTCATTTCAGGTATGGTTTCAAAATAGAAGAGCAAAATGGCGCCGACAAGAAAAACTCGAGAATGCAAGTTTCAAACTATCCGAGAGTTTTCCTTTAACTTCCGTTACAAGCAGACCGTCTAATTCCGTCCTACCATTGGATCCGTGGATGACGTCACAACTAACAACCAATAATTTAAGTCCTAATACGCAGCTACAGATCACTCCTCCGCCAGCCAATCAAAATGCAGCTTATGCTCAGTTTCTAACATCTCAGACATTTTCAGGAACTTCGTCATCGAACGTCAGTACGGCAATACAAAATCTGTTTGGCGGAATCTCCCGAATGGACGACGGAGATCCGCGAAATTCAAGCATAGCTTCTCTGCGGCTACGAGCGCGAGAGCATATGGAACATTTGGAAAGGAAGTACCTTCTTTGAATGTGACCTTTTTCCTATTTCATTTACAATTTATACATTAGAAATTCATTTCAGCAGATACTGTATTCGTATATATTGTCCGTAACGAAAGAATTTATTGGCAAATACCGTCAAACCTGACAATATAGACCAGTCTTGGGGATTTGAAAATTTATCTTTGCCTAAACGAATTCTCATAAAATAGCTGATTCTCCAGCATCATAAGATGGTGAATAAATAAAGACTTATGTTGACAGGTTTCATTTGTTTGGCCATTATTACGAAGGTGGCTTTTGACAAGAGTGTTTAGAGTGCGTAAAGAGGTGCTGTAAATTCATCAACGTTCTATGTTGGAAAAGAATGCTGAGAGATAATTTAATATTTCAGTTTATATGTTTTTTATGTTTATATTTTTACTTATTGATCATTTATAATGTTTTTGTCTTGATAATTTCTGTAAATAAAAACGTATTTATAGCTTTTCAATTGGATATAAAGAATTTAATAATGATATTTTTTATGAAATGTTGTTTTAAAGTTATTATTTCAAATACATTCTTTAAACATCTTTTTTATCATAGTCATGACAATATGAAGGATATTTTTAGAAATAGAAGATTTTAATTAATCGAATTACAATTTACAAATAAATCACGCAGTTGATTAGAACGGCTGTCAGATGTGCCATATTCAATAAAATATTCATATTTCATAAAAAAAAAATCAATTAAAAGTCTTTTTAAATTTTTCTCATTTTTTATACATTGTATATGAGTAAATGTCATTTTCCTGTATGAATTATTAATTTCCGGTAGGGATTATTCTTCTGTATCATATTCTGAAAGGGGCCCATTCATATATAAAGCTACCATTTTATTCAGAGACAGTTTTAATAAGATAACACAAATTTCCGACTGTTTGCCCTCTTAATTTGTCTATGAGCGTCTCCAGTAAATTGGTACCCAAAGGATAAGCAACCTCTAGTGTTTAAGGTGTATTCACAAGTTGAGTTTGAAGTGGGAGGGCCCGTGGTTCGCTACTGTTTAAACCAACAGACGAAAGGGCGCCTTAAAAGACAAATTGATATTCATTAGCTTTACAGTCGCAGCGCCGAACAATCATCGACAATACAGTACAGGTACTTAATACGCCCAAGTTATTTGGATTTCTTGACACACAATTTTTTGTTATTGAAACGTTCTTGTATCGTTAATTATGATGTTATGTGGAGAGTATAGAATTTAAGAACATGTTCTTCAAAAGGATGATTATAAAAAGATAATTTAATCAAACAGGCCAACTCTCCACGTGACTCCTATTCAATGGGGTTGATGCAATCTTTACGAATGCTAAACATGAGCCGGCTATAATGATCCAACCGAACACCCATCGTTTTTAACAGAGAGACATTTTTAACAAATTGGGGATGTCTTTAAAGGTACTGATTCTAAATTATACCACATACAAAACATAATTGACGTGCGAGAGATAGAATGAATCAAGTCGGATCGTATTTGAAATTTCATTAAACAACGTATCAAATGGACCTTCTTAAATGACTGTGCTGTATAACGAGAGATAGGGTTATGCAGTATAAATTGAGATTGTCATCGGACTATTCTGGAGGACTGTTTTATATTCAGGAAAGGGGAAACGTGTGGCGGTTATTTAGTATAGCACGACTTACAAATTGTATATATAACATGATAAGAGTACTTAAAGCATATTATAATTAAAACACATTAAATGTGCAACAGTAAATATGCTGTTCAGGTTTTGGTTGACGTAAAACATTGCGTTATACATCAAGACAGCGTCTTTCAAATTTGAAAGACCCTGATCAAGAGTACATATAGGACGCGGAAACAAAAGGGTAAACATATTTCAAGTTGGGTATGAGACTTTACTAGTTTTCCAGAGGGGGTCGTGCGTGAATTTGGCTGATTTTCAACACATTTTTCGCGTGTTTCCCCTGAAAAACGTAACTTACCCAAATATCTGAGTGGTTTCACACACTGTCTAGCCAAATCACCCACTGGTCCCGCGCATGCTTATGCAATGAATATTTGCCTGGTTTTATTATCAAATACCAAAAAAATGCAAACAAACAAACAACAAGTTTAATAAATAAGATATCACAATACAAAATAATATACAAATGTTATGTTACAATTAAACGGGACGCAGGTGTACAAAGAAATAACAAAGAATTACACATCATGGTTGGGTTCGACAATGTTTACGATCAATTCCAGTTTTTGGTCCTCTCCGGCAAACCTCAAATCGAGGTCGAGTTAACTTAAAAACAATATGTGACGCCAGTTACCTTCCCGGGCGTTGATAAGCTAAATGAAAGAAATAACTCGTCCAGTGAAATGTTGGGTTATAATATACCCGTTCTTTCCTACCGTGATCATTTAAACAATCAGTTAGTGATTTCGTCAGGTTTTTCTTTCTCTTGCTCTATCACGACCTGCTCTGGCGAAGCTAGTTTTGAACTGCCGTTATTGCTTCCATCAGTATTCTGTGGCGTTTGGGCAGAACCGGAGGCCGAATTTTGCAACACAGACGTTGGCTTGTTCACGGATGTAGACTTGGTTTTAGAAGATGATGAACCCGAAGTAATTTTCTCAATACACTTGTTAAGACCCAAAATCTGTAACACGCGCTCTCTGAATTTTGACGAGCATAGTACGTAAAGAAAGAAGTTAATAGAATAATTGAGCTGTTCTAGGATCTGGGCCATCTCTCGCAGAATGAAGAAACTTTTCGTGTTTACATCGAATGCGCTGACATTTCTCCAGAAAGCTAGATTGTGAACAATGGTGATAGGCAGCACCAACGCAACGTAGGCAACGACAATGCCGATCAGCATGAAGGATATTCGTAGCGTCTCTTTATCAGCTTTATCCCCTGAAGCACCGCCTGCTAACTGCTTCCTTTTATTCCTCTGCATCAAAAGTTTCACCACAATGACCGGAGTCAGAAGTGCCATTATCACCATTGGGATCAAAGAATAAAAAGAGGAACCAGCAAGCAGGAAGTCTCTGTATTTTTCCTTCGTTTCCGGGTACGTCACATCCGGTTTACAAGTTCCATCGACTATGATAGACGAGAATGTCCAGACGCCATTGTACGTGATCATGAATATGTAATCAAGTGCGATCATTGTCAGGATACTGGTCTTTGTTATGATGGTTTTTGTTTTAAATGGGAATACCACAGCTATAAAACGTTCGAAACATAGGATAACGATGAGCCATGATGACGTCATTTTCCCTGTTTTGAAGATGTGAAAGAACGCTTTACAACCGATATCTGAAATAGCCCTTACGTCATAACCAATCAGTTTGCGGAGAAACAGCTTGTTGAAGGGCTGTGTAAGCAGAAGGGTCGTATCAGACAGCGCAAGTGCGATGAGGATGTATCGTGACGTCATATTTGAAAATGATTTCGACGTCATAGTTACGATGGTAACTGCATTTCCAAACAGGCCTATCCCGAGGAATATTGGTGTAAGGATATAACTAGCAACGTAGAAATTATTCTGCAGTTCAGCAAAACCAGGTTTCGGTGGCAACACGTTACCTGTGCTGGCGTTGAAAGCATCACTTCCGTTCTGAAAGAACGTGTCAGTTAGGTTGACATCAGCTGACGTCAGGTTTTCGGTAAGCGACGCCATATTGGCAAGAAACTGAAAAAACACCTATGTATATATCATATATATTTCATTCATGGTAGGTTTAATTGCTGTATAAGTATGCATACTAAAAATCTAAAAACGAAATTTATAACTTGCAGCCTAGGTTTCTTAAATAGCAACCTTTAAAAAAATCAGTATAAAAGCAAAAAAAAAAATTTCTTAAATCTTATTTTGTAATTTATTGAAAAAATCCACCCAGACTTGAGTTTGGACTATACCATTTAAAGTTTTTGGGTATTTTAATACCAAAATACAAAAAAAACTACAGCGTATCATGGTACACGGACGTTTTGTTCATTAATTCTAACAGTTTAACCGAAAATTTAATTTCAGATAGCTTTACCACGTTCGCTCGCTTCGCTCCCCTTCCTCAATACATTGTATTCTGAAGATTATGTATTAAGATTTATGCCTCAGTTCTACCTTTGAAAACATGTGTTTCAATATTTTCGTCCAATTTAAAATCAAAATTCAACATCACGTGTGTGTAGGTTTATTAAAAACAAAGTCAATTCTAATTTTTACCCTTGGGCCATTTTAAAACATAGATAGATATATAATAGCATATTTTTTGTTTGTTAAGTTAAATGATTACAAAATTATGTTAAAATAATTATCAATATGAATAATGTATATAACATATTAAGATATTTTATAAAAGTCTCATTATCATGTATTTTTAGTAACACAATCTAATAACATTGAAATATTGCACATAATGTCATTCGAATATGTGCTATAAGAGACTACACATAGGAAGTTATTCTTGCATAAAAACGGCGAGCGCAAGGGAGGAAATGGTGCATTGACGGATAAAATCATCGTTTTTGCACGTTGTTTTAGATATGTGTGACTCAGGGCGCCACGTGCAATGTCACTAGCACGTGGAAAGCATGACGAAAATACTTAAAATAGATCATGGAACCGATTTAGACTTAAACTACCGATGAACCTTTTTTCGCGCAGTAACATATGCGGAAGCCCTCGGACTTATTTGATCTCTCGACCTGTTTTAAATGAATCCACGTGCTTCAAAAGATGATAATGCACGATGACAGTTACATTAACCTTCTATTGTAAAGCTATCAAACTATATTCACAAATATTGTTTAAAAGTTACAGGCATAAAACACTTGTTCATTTAAATCATTGAAAAATCCAGGTCACGTTTTGATCAGGATCAAAATTCATTTATTTTCATAGATTGTTTTTACCATTCACTCCATAAAAGTGGACTTGAATTAGTAGGTATGTACAAATTTTAGAAATACAAATTATTACTTTACAAGACCGATTCATACTAATTTTCATGAACATTTCAAAAATGTATTTAAAAGGTGATCAAAGAAAATAATTTACATTATGAAAAACAGAACTTACAATCCACGTATATTACTAAAATGAGGTGGTAAATATTGCAAAATCAGTCCTTAATTGCACATAAAATATTATATGAATTATTACTTGAAGCTTAAATCTTTTATTTTTCTTAGAATCTTAGTACATTAATTTAGTTTAATTTTCTTGAAATATTTTGGCTCTTCTGGAGGCATGCTGCTTTAACAGTTCACCTTAAAATTGATCCTTATTTCGATCCGATTATTATTGTACATGTATTTATTACTTGTTATTTCATCAATTTATACTATTTGATTAAATGAGCATAGTTTACGATATCATTTAACAAAATTCTTTCTTTACTTACTAATTACTTATCATATGTATATATTTATATACATTCTTAAATGTTTCACTACTTTTGACGAAATTATGTTAAGTTTGCACCTCATTTTTGCGACGATTTTTTAAAATTTGAGATTTTTTTTTTATAAAAACTGGATATAGAAAAATGTATATGTATGAAAAGTTAATTAATATTTATAGTATTTTGGGCGGTCAAGAATCATCAACATAATGGTAGATTCAATTTATTTATAATAAAAGTTTAATGTAAAATAAAAATGCGAAGGAAGAATAAAGTAACCATATACTAGGCGCATTGTAGTCTCTACATATTTTAAACATTTTACATTTCTAAGAATGTTTCTACATAAATTCGTATTTAGTTTTTGTTTTACTCTTTCAATATTTCTTGGAAATATTTTATACCTCAAATTACATTCCATTATCAAAAAATGCTGTATGAATTTTTAAATGTATTTGTGTTTTCTTTACATTATTGAAATCTTATCAAAAGATTGAAAAAGACTAAAAAAACAAAACATTTTTTACCTTTTTGGGACTGTCTTCTTTCTTCCCGGGCTCGAATAAGGAAAACGCCGTAATGTGACGGGTACGGCCATCACGGACGGGTTTTATATTACAGATGGACGCCGAAGTGTGGTCAACACAATTCTGTAGGACAAAACTGAATCAATTTTTCCCTAAATGATCCGTGTCAGCTATTAATACTACAATAATAGAATCATTTATATAGTAAATCGAATGTAACAGTTTAATAATAAGCTGGATTCACAATATTTATATACAATATATTTATATAGAATTATTGTGTAAATTATATATTACATAGATTCTGGCAACAATACATGCAATCACAAAATATTATCATGTTCAAGTTAATAAAAACATATGCTGAATATCAGAAAAGTGTGATACTTGTTACCTTTAAATACATTTTGATAATGTAACTTTTATCACATATTAGTTGTTTCATGGATAAAACAGATGAAGCTAGCTTGATGGTTTCCAACATAATGTACCTTATTCATACCAGGTGAAAATGATAGGTAAGTGGTCATCCAGCCTCCGCGGTCCCGATAAATATATTTATCTATTTCTATGTTCGTAATGTGAACTAAATTCTTACTATCTTAAGATGATATCAAATTAAATAAAATTATCTTAATGTTGCTGATAAACTGAATTTTTGGTTCAGTGAAATATAACAGTAACATTTAATGGGATTGAATGTATTTAATCGTAACGTTACGATTTTAACATAAACTTCTTTCTGTTTAGATACTCTTGTTAAACATGTCTTGGAAGTACTTTTTAATCGTTTCACGTAAGTTGATTTCATTAACATATGAGCTGTTGTCTGTTGTAATTTTAAGAGAACATGAATAGCAATTGCCACTGAGGTTTTTTGACATGACGGGAATGAAAATATTTTTTCCAAATAAAAGTACCATTTGATCATGTTGATGTAGGTTTAAACAATTAATCTTTGTGCAAAATTTCAGATCATTCGCGCACTTCGTTTTTCCAGAATAATTATTCAAATTGTAAAAAAATAACCCAAAATGAAAAGCGTTTAAACGCTTGTCACTCAAATCGGGATAAGAAAAGCATAAACATACGATTTTCAATTTATTTCGAAGTTTATTTCTTAACTATCTTTGCATATATTTTTGTTTAAAATGCCCCAGCTTATTTATGTGAGCAATTCAAATGTTAGGTTTTAAGGCTTTTAAACCTCCGTAGAGTCCCTTTAAAGAGTCAGGCTAGCGAGGCTCTGTATTGTTGACTGACTCGAATTAATTCCTAACTTGATATCCCTAAAAATGATAATGTACAGTTCCAAAACTGAAATCTGGACAAGTCCATGTAGGAAAATTCAGCACGATAATGGTTGATTATTACTAAAAATGGCTGCACCACTTATGTACATTATGTTTATTCATACATTTATTTGTACGATAGCAGGCTCCTTGAACTGTATGCACGGTATAGTTACTGTAATTTTTTGACGATGTATTAGACATTTTTATATTATTTAAAAGTCTGAAATTTGAATTGCCAATGTTTATACATGTACTTTAATTTTGTTTCTGAGTTTCAAACATATAATTAATGTCAATTCAATGATGGCTAAGTAAATGAGAAAATGATATATAATGATAAAGGTTGATTGATTGATTGATTGATTGATTGATTGATTGATTGATTGATTGATTGATTGAAAATATGATTGAAAAATTGATTACTTTATCGGTCGGTCAATCAATTTTCATTTATCCTGACCAGGACATACGTTTGTTTGTTTGTTTGATTGATTGATTGATTGATTGATTGCATCACTAACAACAACGGAACCGTGTGACATTTGATGGGAACGTAATTTTGTATTGTATTACATGATTTTCATATGTCTTTCATGCTTTAAAGATATACTATGCTCATCCTTGAGTAAAAATATTTTAATCATGGAAATTTATTGTAATCTTCAAAATTCTTACTGAATATGTCTAATTTGAATGAATATGCGTTATTACAGATCAAGTAAAGTTGCTACTGTCTTTAAAAACTACCATTTTTTAATGACTTTATATATTCATATTATGTCCACCTATATAGTGTGTAGAATTTGAACATATCTACTTCGTGTGAAGTCAAACCATGTTTATTTTATATTTACAAAGATCATCAATATTTTCTAATATTATCATATTAATTTTGAGCATAGTATATCTTTAATGGCTCTCTTACCTTTTTGTTTTGGCGGGATATACATACTCACGCCTTTCTAATCAGGTTCTTTTAACTGGACTTCATGAGCTTGTAATATTTCGATGTGATTTAAAAAGCTTACTTAAAAGTTCAAACGAGGAACACATGCTTTCTTATAAATATATATTTTATATGTACACTAGTGTTCGCCGAGATTTTGGTGGAGTGTTCAGGTCAAGGTATTTGTGATCTGCCGAGCAATGACACCGTGGAGTTAGGTGGAAGCTGTAATTTCAACAATGGCGGATGTGGATACTTGTTCCCGGCTTCGCTTTGGAATGTCCACACAGAAAGCTTTGGTGGCTTGATCTATGGTAAAATACGCGGCGATGAAGGTAAGAAGGTCTTTCTCCTGTTAAATTGTTTGAGCGTCTAAGAATTGTATGCTGGCTACATACACACATGTTCAATTAGTATATATTTATCAACAACTGCTTCAAAATGTTAACTGAAAGACCATGCTCCAAAATGTACTGGTATTTGAAAGCCGACACAAGACTGTTGCTTTAACAGGATGCATCATCTCACATACGTAAACTTTAAGGACATTATGCCTTTGAAATGATTTAATGTTATTAATCAAAGACTTTCATATGTTTGGTGTCCTGTTAAAGTGTCTAAAACGTTACTCATTTGCCAATTACCTGGACCATCTTTTGCTTCTGTTGCTTTTTGGCCATATGTAAAGTTAAATTGATTTCGTATTTTGTATGGAAGTCGAAATACTATTTTGTTTACATTTTGCTACTTTTAAGACTAATAAATTCACATTCAGGTCAACATTCTTTAGGTAATAACCATTATCCATATGTTCTATAACTAATAAAGAAAAGAAGAAGTGAAAGGACTATGGATACATTTGAATGTTGCTTTTGCGAAAAATATAATAATTATTTTTTACATAAAACTTCAGGTACGAGCCAGACGTTTGCCTTGTTCCAGTCCAACGACCCGGCACTGAACGATTCCCTGATTGTTAATAGCAGTATCGTTACACCAAATATCTATACCAGTCCGGTTTGTCTCAAGTTCTGGTTCCTTATGCCCAATCAGAACTCGAGACTCGAGGTTTATACGGTACAGTCACGTGATAACAAGACCGACTCGGTGTATACGCATGTTTATAGCCCGGCTTCACAGTGGGCGGAAGTGAAAGTTCTTGTAAATGCGAATGCTCCTTATAAGGTAAATTTACAACACAATGTAATACAAATGTACTTTAAACCTGGGACAAAAAATGTTTTGTCCCAGTTTGATATCAGTGTATGCTTATTGCACATTAAGCCGGAGATATTCATTGCAGACGACATTTTGTTTGTCGGAGTTGCTAAGAGTAGCCCCCCTTTGTATACATGTTTTTCTTAGGGGAGTGGGTGTACCAGGCTAAGAGACATATAGCTTGGTAAAAAAGTAAACTATAATGTTAGTTAACTTAATTATAGGTAAGTAGACTTAATTACTTTTATCTTTTTAAGTTCAAACTGTTGTTGGTCAGAGTAAATGCTTTCGGATTCGTCTTCTTTCATGCAATTTGAATATTGAATAGATCTAATCAAATTTTACATATTTGTTCTTAAGTTCGAGTTTAGATCAACCAAGGAAAATAGTTACGGATACGTCGGTATTGACCATATTCAAATCTTAACAGGTAAGCGTACCATTTCTAAAGTTTTGCTATATATTTTTTTCTTAGATATTCATATTTGAGTATTGATAAATGAAGTTACAACTTCTACTATTTTTTTCTAATAGAAAAGAAATGCTTTATTTCATGTATATGATTTGTAAATGAAAGTTATGGTGTTTGCAGTTTATTTCGTTGATTCTTGATTCTTTTATACCCCGGTACTTTTGTCGAGTTATATTGAACATATATAGTCTCGGAGGCAAAATATTAGATTATAATGGAAGTAACCTCGAACAGAAAATATTATATGAGACTAACACCAATTATAATTGAAATAGTCTCGAAGGCAAATGTTCATTGTGATTGTACTACCGTTGTACTACCGTTGATCATTGTAAAACGTGATATTGAGGCAATGCAAAAGAAAACAATTGTGATTACACGTTAACATACTTTCATCTTTTTAGAAAAGGTCATAACTACTGAGTCAACGACAACAACAACAATTGCAACGACGACAACAACAACGCCTACAACATTAATGACAGTTACGACAACAACACAAAGACCTATTGAAACAACAGAAGAAACAACAACAAAACAAACCACGACGGAACAAGTAACAACAACAACAACAGACGCTCCGACTACACGCGAACAAACAACTACCGAACAGACGACATTAGTAACAACAACAGAATTATTAACCACTGTTAAAAAAGTGCTAACGACTAAGGGCATAGTAAGGTTACCGTCAACAACACCAGAAATAACAACAGAATTTCATCCAACAACAGAGAATTTACAAACAACAGGTAAATTATGCGTGAAAATGGTTATATTTTACATGCAAGTTCAGCCATTTTGAAAAAAAAGTCCGTAGTTATGTACATAGGAGTAAGTAAACAATTAAATGAAATACAGTAAAAACTCTGAAAACCGGACCCTCTGAAAACCGGAATCCTCTGAAAACCGGACGATTTTAAATGTAATAAGTTTTAAGATTGTCAAAATGATTCTGTTCTTTTAACTAATTAACAGGAAAGAATTATGTACGCAGTGACATTTTCCTGGAGCTACATCAGGTACATGGCACATAACCCTAAATACCTAAATTACCTCTGTTCTAGTTTGAGAAAAGTTAAATGACCTATTTACCTTGAACTTGTATTAATGTTTTATGACTATAGATTATATTTTAGTGATAAGCAAACCATTAGTGGTCACAAATTACCAGTATGTTGGTTACAATTTTTCTGTTTCATTTTACGTCATATGTCGACAGTTCAGCTTTATTGATTGGGGAAGAACTCAGGTGACCAACCGTGCATTTTTTTCAGACACAAACGGGCACCTGCATGGAACCTACGACATTCCGTAAGCTTGCTGGATAGCTCACTTGAAAGAATCCAAAGTCCCCAGCCTTATTAGAACCTACGGCGATGAGGGGCAAGGTTATTGCTATGAAACGACCTAAAACACTCGGCTACTGACGCAATAAAACTGGCCATGAACTAAATGTATATTCTATGTGTTATTCGGATGCTATTATATTCTATTGTAGGGTGTTCTTGCAAGTGTCCCACTGTACCAACTGTATGTGCTGGCGATGGGCCGCCTACCACAAGTATCAAAATTTGATAATATACTTTTACGTTTATGTACTGAAATAATCAACATTGTTTAATTGTTTGGTTGATTTTATGTTGTTACGCCGAATTTTACGCATGTTTTAGTCACATCACGGCGATCGAGTCACCTAACCGCCGTAATAATATGCCATTTCAAATGTCGCCTTAACTTATAATCAAGTGCTGCTTACCAACCTTAATATGTTAACTTCAAAATCAAATGTAAAACACCATTACAATTGCGAGTTTATCAAATTTAAGATTTGAATATGCATCATCGTTGTATAAGCATATAGATTATGAAACAACATTTTAGCCATTGATATTAAAACTCTTAGCAATCTACTAATGCCATTGTTCATGTTATAATAACATAAAAATAATTTCTATGGCAACTTTTATTTATTTTAAACTATTAAAAATAACCATTAAATTTCTTTTGAAAAATTTAAAATCTATATGATTTGACATTTATTTCTTTATTTCAGAGCCGGTTTCGTCACCAACCTTTTGTGATGTTCCGGCAGACCAGCGGTCAGTTCTTGACCAATACAGTTGTAATTTTGACCATGGAACGTGTGGGTTCAACATATCAACCTACCCTCACTTGTGGGAACTAGCCTCACAACGATATGGGGACCCGACTGTCGGGGAAATAGTGGGAGACCACTCGCTTGGTAAATCTTCTTACTTTTAATACAATCGCATCTTCTCGGTCCTTTCCGTTAAACTTCGGATTTAGAATTGTGAATAATAGCCGAGATATTCCGATTGACTTTCAGTATAGTAATTATTCTGAATGTTCTCTTAGACCATAGGTTTGCGGTTAAAATACGTTTTAAATTCGGTATAATGTAATTTTACACTTAATAATTTATAAGAAGTTTCTTCTGGGCATCTCTTATGTATATCATATTTCAACTTTTAAGTGAGTTGGCCCATAATGGAAAATATGTAATAATTACTAAATAATATACATGATCCGATATTGCATTTGAATATATAGCAGATAATAAAGTTTCTGGAACAAAATACATGATTCATTAACCCCAATATAATTATGTGTTCAAATTTTACAAATTTTTCATAAATATTTCATGAACAAAAATGCAAAAAGAAACATTTCCTATGTTCTTATGAATACTTAACTATTTGAGACATATTCACTTTAATGCTTTTTATTTGGATTCCTGCGTTATAATTTCTGATACTTCATTTGCCCAGTGATTAACATTTTCATCAGATAGATAGAAAAATAGAGTTTACTATAAACGTCTTGAAAAAGCAGTAACTATACTTAAGTTATGGCAACTTTTGAAAACTTCAGTTAGACCATGTGGTCAGCTCAACTTAAAATGCGCTTATTTTGTGAAGTCAGCACGTTTTTTCCGTGACATGCTCCCTATTTTCGGCAGTAACATGTATTCGGAACACCGCGGCAGTTATTCATAGTCATCCGAAGTTAAACGGAAAGGACCAAACAGTTGCGACTGTAATGCGGGAATGACAGGCTAATGGCGGTACAAAATATGTGATCAAAACTGCTGTTGATTGGCCAGTTATTATTGCTTACTCATAAATGTTAATCTGCGGAATTATTGTTTCTGATGAAAAGAACTCGTCGTTGTCGTTAAAGCATTCAATCACGTAATTCACGTTTGGTCTGTCAAAGAAATACAAATTATCTGCTCTTTTTACAAAATTTCTGTCATGCCTCATCACATTTTTTCTTTGCTGCAGAGGCGTTAGGTGGTTACCTTCTTTTCAATACGTACAATAACCACGTGCAAAGCGGCATGGAGCACGTGTTTCTCTCTCCAGTTCTGCTCCCGTTTACACAATATTGTGTGACTTTCTGGTACAACATGCCGAACAATGAGTCTCGTCTGCAACTGACAGCTGCGTTCGATAACGGAACCAGACAGTTGCTATGGAAACAGGAAAACCAAAAGACGAACGGCTGGACAAAAGTGAAAATAGCATTCAAGGAGAACTCGAATTTCAGAGTATGTTTTTGATATTCGATCAAAAACGACAAAACGTTTCTTCTCTGCTATTCTTTTTAGACCAATAAGTGTTTGGAAAAAAGCGTTAACATCCTGTTCTATTCTACTCTACTCTGAAAAAAAAACGTATTTTTTTCAGTTCATATTCTTTTTAGTTAAAAAAAGGGGTTTGATCTTTGATATTCTGATAAACAAAACGTTTACCTTTTGTTCTATTCTTTATAGAAAATAAACAAACCGTTTGTTAAGATCTAAACTTATTCATTTAAGATGAAGAAAGTATTTGGAGTTTTCTTGTGAGCAAACAATCATTAACTTTTTCAGTATGTCAATTATTCTACTATCTTTACTAACTGATTTAACTGTCATTTTATAAATATTATACTCAGCTTCAGTTTGGATCCAGGAAGGACGATAGAGAAGGTTTTCTTGCGGTTGATGACATTCAAGTCTCCGCCGGTAAGTTTTCTATAAATTCCTGTAATATCATAAGCTTTTAATTAAAATTGATTATTCTTCACGTGTACGATTGGAAATTTTTGTACGATTTTGTTGTTAAAGCAAAACAGTGACTAATTTACAGAAGGTGTCCAAGTTCTAGATTGGCATAACATTCAAATTTAGTTTTTTTCTAAAAGTTACTTTAGTATTGAGGTATTTCATAAAATAAGCCTCTCTTTGAAATATCATGTCTGCGGAGAACTTTGTGTGTATTTCATTTAAAATAATTATGTAGTTGAGTTGTTGGTAAACTATGAAGCCTATGTTACAGGCCAAGTAAGAGTTGCACTGTTGCTTTCCCTGAATTTAAGTACATGTACATGGCTGCCTTGCTTTATTAAGATCCGGGCAGTTTTCGAGCGCTAACTATGGTCACAGAAGTTCGACCAGACCAATGGTTAGACAAGTGAAACGTCACGAATTTAATCATCACCATAATGCGCTTCAAAATCACCGAAACTGAACATGCGCAGTGCATCGACTAGAGCCAAAAGAACCTTGACCAAACATGACTAATTGTGTAGTTATATTTGCCTTACAAAATATGTATTCCTGTGCTGGTTAATTACCTTATTGTAAAATGATACCATTTCTCATTATAATACACGTTTTGTTGTAGCGAAATCACGTTTTCCACGAGAAATTAGAATGAGACAACTTGCAAATTTGAATGGTATCTTGGCAGATGACACTTCCGGTTGTACATGCACATGTCCTGCTTATCACGTTATCGACTGTGATAAATCTACTCTGTCACCGCCATATGGTATGACATTTTGGATAGAATTAAAAGACTTTCTTATTCTTATATATACACGGGGATGGAACCCCATATGGATCTCAAAATTGAGCATCGGTAAAAAGTACTAGTATATGTAAACATCCGCTTATCCAGATGTGAAGTATAACACCAGATGTGAATGTGTAATTAGGTCAATCGCAGGGTAAGTTTTCAACAAGTAGTATCCGGTCTGCGTCAACATCTTTATGTACTGGGCCTTTTTATTTTTAGTATTTCTAATGCTAGCATAAGCTAGTAAGCCCTGTTATTGTGGTGTACAAACAAACTAATGTTCCTATTGAACTTTCAGCCAAAGCTACGAAACCTTAATTGTTCCTTTAGATTGGCTATTTAATGTTCATATGGAAGTGATTCGTAGTTTTGTAGAGGGTTTTCTATATCACTTATGGATCTCTTCAGCACAAATGGAGCTCAAATGTAATTTTGAGCAGCGATTCCTACTTTTGTAGAAAAACCTCAATAAATGTTTAAGTCAGGATTTGGTCGAATATTAAGCATCGGTCTGTGGTGAGATTTCGTAAAATTGCTGTATTTTGAGTCCGGTTAGTGACATTTTCTCCAAATACATTGCCTGTTTTGGACACACCAGAACCCACGACGGAAAGAATATCTCGATGAAGACTGCATAGAAATCCAATACAAAAATGGGTAGTATCGAGGAGAATCAGGAGGGTAAAATCACATTTCGATTTTTTAAAAAAAAAGGTTTGAATTTTTTATATAACTGTTTAAAAAGATGAAAACTTACCCTGCGATTGACATAAAGGAGTATTTGTGAATCCGAATAAATCAGTTAATATCATTGCCGCAATAAACCTGAAAAGTCTTTCCTGTCTTCTTTCGGCGGGTTTTGCAATTATTTTTTGTCACGTGATAGTGTGTTCCACTATAACGTCATTGTCAAAGAAAATACCAACATGGCCGCTCGTGCACATGCCCATAATGATTCGTTATCCCTTGGACTGATAATTATCTTTCTGTCCCAGGTTACCCATATTTTTTGACCTTCAAAATGTATTTATTTTGAATATATAGTATATTATGGGAATTGTTATTGATCCCAAAGGGGGGGGGGGGGATAATTTTCTGTACAACTCAATTCGTATAAATTTGTAACTTTTTTTTTCCTTAATTGTTTCAGGTCGGTCCTGCAAAGATTTTACCGGTGCAAATTTGGTGAAAGATGCAAGTTGTGATTTCGACGGTGGGAATTCCTGCAAGTTTACACTTCCGGTATATCCACATCTCTGGGACATCCTTGAATATCATTATGGAAACAGCACACTCGGAATTATAAGCGGAGATGTAACAAAAGGTTTTTACTAAAGGAAACTGGCTAAATATTTTTGTTAATCGTATCTTATATTATTTGGTTAATCACATCTTATTTTATTTGTATAGAGTTAATGTTGCTCATTTCATGCAAATGTGAGTTTTGAACATAACTTTTTCTTAATAATTGTAACCTTCAACTGAAATTATTTTTATGGGCCTTAAAAGAATGAAGCCTCAAAATATCTAAATGTCAGGCGGTAACTAAAGCAAGTAGTTTAATTATTTCTGAGAACCAAACCAAAACGATAATGTTATCGATGCCAAAATAACTATTAAATCTAAAAATGCTCTGACTAGCAGCAAAGTGACGTAAAAGTGACGTAATTGATGCTTACCAAACGACATTACAAAACGTTCAACACATTTTTCCACGTTGCATTATAGAGTTAAAACTGAAAAATAAATAAATTCACCTTTAACATTTCTTTCAAAACAGAAAGTGCGGGGATGTATGCAGCGTTTACAACAAATGATTACCGCGTGCCACTCGGAGAGGGCGGTGACATGACGTCTATTCCCGTATTGCACCCTGGGAAACTCTGCCTCAGCTTTTGGTACAATATGCCGACTGATACTTCCTCCATTACGGTATTCCGGGATACCGGAAGTAACAGAACTGTGATATGGTCAAAATCTCACGAGATTTTGAAAGGATGGCAACAAGCAACTGTTTTACTGAACGGAAATGAAACCTTTCGAGTAAGTTAATTAAGTTAAACAAGGTTATAGTGCAGTCACTCGAATTGTAGTTCATGTGACTGTCATTGCCAGAAATATCGTGATTTAATATATTTACTCGTAATGTAATAAAAGGGATTTGTCTGAAAAAATATTTGTTCAATGATATCGAAAAATATTCTTTTCAGATAGAAAGAGCATTTTTATGACACAAAATTAATAAGTGAAGATAGATAAAATAACTTTCACAAAAAGTTATTTTTTATTTGCAAACGTTAAATGGTTATTTACAGTCTCATCGATAGTTGATATGCCAATCTCGCGCTTATTTTACTCTATTATGACAAACTGACAAAGGGTCCAATAAAGAGCTATACTAAATCTGCTAATATACTAAATACGTACATAAAAGTTCAATTTCATATGCGAACACCTATTATTATTGCAACATAAACCGTAAATTAGCCTATCTGGTCAGAATAAAAGAAGTGTATATAAGTCACACATATTTCGGTAATTTTACACGAGTTTCCATAATAAAAATAAAACGTTTTATTAACACGACAAAGGTTAGTCCAACAACGATCTCCCTAATATAGAAACAGTACGTTCATTATGTGACAAACATTATATTTTTACCGTTTCAATTATGTTTGTATCACGGATGTGCGGGGACTTATCATTGCTTTTTTCTAAGAGTTCATAGTCAATGCCTTTTTCCTAAAAGTTCATAGTCAATAAAGTGTTCATAGTCATACCATTGTTTCTATGGGGTCTTAGTCATTCAATTTTTCTGTAAGTTTATAGTCATTGCATTTATATTTTTTATAAGATTTCAGTCATTGCATTTATTTTTTCCTAGAGTTCATAGCCAATGATTTTTTCGGTGAGTTCATAGCCATTGCATATTTTCCTAAGAGTTCATAGTCATTTTTTCATAAGAATTTATAATCTTTTTTTCTACGAGTTCATAGTCAAAGCTTGCTTTTTTTCCTAGTAGTTAATAGTCAATGATTTTTTTCTTTTCTTTCATATTTCGTCATTATTTTACTATATATTTATTTCCGTTTGTATCTTTGCAGATAGTGTTTTCTTCCAAAAAGACAAGTATGGCTGGATACTTTGCTATTGATGACATCCAGTTGTATAGCAATGTGAAAACTCTCTGAAATGTTTACTTTATTGGTATCATGTATTTCAAATATATATAATCACGTGTATATAATGTATTAACACAATATTATATAAGGACGCTGTGACAATGGATTCACTGTTCATCGCCTAGTGCAACAAAAAATAAAATCTATAAAGAAACTATCTTGTCTTCAAACCACTTGTCACTCACCACTGTTGGTACGAATCTCAATAGGGACTAGATTCTCTCTCATGTGTTGAAGCTATCCAACCAGCTAACGGAATGTCGGTGGTTCTACTTGGGTACCCGCTCGTGCCTGAAATAATGTACGGAGGGACACCCGAGGCCTGCCTACATCAGTAAAGTTTGAAAGTCGCCAAATTACTTCTACTGTGTTCATGCTACGTAAAATCCAACCAAAAAGACCATGATTGATTTTTATTTAAGTTTTGATCAGCATAAGATGTATTTGTTTTGTTTAGTTTTACGGCGTATCAACGCAGTTTAGGTCATAGCATAACCTCAAACAATTTCTTAATAAGAGCATCGCCTGTCGGCCGAAGTATGTACTGTCGTAAGATGTTTGAATGTGATAGGACTCTATTGAAAAATGAAAGAAAACAACCAGGCCAAACTATTGATCGGACGGGCGTTTTTTTCACAAGCGTCACTGTGACCTTGACCTTTGACTTAGTGTACTTAAAATCAATAGATGTTATCTACTTAGTGCCACTGACCTAAAATCGATCGACTCATCCACTAACCTTTGGCAATGTCTCACAAATCTAACCTAGAAATTTCCTCTCAAACAATTAAACTTACAGGAATTTACACTTAATGTCACTGTGAACTTGACATTTGACCTGTTTGCTTTAAAATCACAAAGGGTCATTTACTGGTTATGTAAATCCTCCCTTCTAAGTATGATGACAGTACACCTAAAACTTGTCAAGGACTTGAGCGGTCATTAAAGTTACCTTGAGCGCTTTAAAGTCAAGGTTATGTATTCATTTTTGGTTTTGACGTTTAAAAGATGGTTCTTTGCTCTATTTCATTGATCCAAAATCAGCACAGAATGCAAACTGACCAATCAAAATCCAGATATTTGAGACTCCGTGACTATGCAAATGATGAGAGCTGGCACGTGTTGAGCGCTAACTCTTTAGCAAGTTATTGTAGAGGTCAACGGTTCAATCTCAATTTCTGTTATACCAATATATTTAGCATATTGTGTTCATGTATTTGGCTATCCAAGGTAACAATTGATTAAATGACCCAGTCTGAAACAAGTGTCATTTATTTACATTAGGTCTATAAATGAACATTAAAGACACATTAAGTCTCACATTTTTTTATCAAAGGGTTTTGATTTTGGTGTTCTGTTAAAGTTTCTAAAATGTTACTCATTGACAATATAACGGTACCATTGGAAGACAAATACCACTTTGTTTACATTTTGCTCCACCTGTGAAACATTATTTTACGTTCAGCGATATTCTCTATTTAAAATGCTCTTAATACATTATAACAACATTGCAAAACGCATGTTTGTCATTTTTACAAACTGGAGGAAAATGTATTCATCTCCGAGAATTAACTGCCTTTCATCATTATGATTTCGATTATTTACTTCTGTATTTGACAACTGCTACCTTTGCATTTGACCTTTCCAGGAAAATGTCAATGCAGTTTACCTTCACTTAGTTGCTCTTTACCTTGACCTTTAACCTTTTCAGTACAATGTCAAAACAAGGTAACCTTCCATTATTTGCATTTTTATATTGACCTTTGACCTTTTCGGCAAATTGTCAAAATGAAGTCAATGCAATTTCACTTCCTTCACTTGCTTGTTACCTTGACCTTTGACCTTTTTAGCACAATGTCAAAACAATGTCAATGTAATATCATTTGCTTGTTGCCTTGACCTTTAACCTTATAAGCACAATCAAAATAAGGTCAATATAATTTCCCTCACTTGTTACCTTGACCTTTGACCGTGTCAAATTATGGTCAAGGCAATTGCGCTGTCATAACTTGTTTCAAGAAATTTTTTTGAAATAACAACACAACAAGCATCTGCTACTGATATCTATTGACATTTCATTGCAATACAAAATTTATGATGAAACATGTTTAATGAAAAAAACGACAGTAAAGAAGTCATAGAATAAAATTGAGAGTGAAAATGTGAAGAAAAAACTTTTTCACACAAGCATGAACATTGCCATTTAAAGTATATCAACAACAAAAACCAACGTCTAAAAATAGATCAGTCTTATATAAAAATTGAATGAAGAATAAAGATGCTAAAAAAATCATTAAAAGTATTATAAAACCAACGTGTGATGAAATAAACACTGTCTATCCCAGCTAATGACCTTGACAGTTTACTGCAAAGGTCAAGGACAAATAGACCGAGTACTGATTTATAATCATATTTCAATCTGCAACGATTTTTATTATAAATAAATAAGTATATGTTGATATGCATGTAACCATTAATTGATTTTAAATAAAAATCCATTTGATTAACAAATTAAAGGCTAATATGCTTAATAATGACCTTTGATAAATACCTTTATATTAAGTAGGTCAATATGCATATGACCTTTACCTGATTAAAAGACAAAGTTCAACACGAATAATATTAACCTTTAATCAATTAACAAATAAAGGTCAATATGCATATTACCTTAAATTGGTTACAAATCATATAGCAATGTGTTTACATGATATTTCATTCTTTACAATAAAAACACATGTAATTTTAAGTTATTTCCACATTGGTGGTATCCTATACATGAACTAGTAGTTATGCATATCTCCAACATTCATTAAAGGAACTCCACTGAAGTCCAAAAGCCAAAAACATAAAATTTGAAATTCTTTCATAGATTAAGGGAAACACCTAAAATGGACAAATGTGCAAAGGATAATAAAGTGCTATACTCAGAATCAAACTGAATATCGATTTTGTGCAATTCTCAGTCCAATATGTATGAAAAGCGGTGCTAAGGTTTTCATTTTTGAGTCATTTCGCACAATGAAAATTATCATTCTGTAAAAACTGAATGAGCGAATGATCTGAAAATTTACACACAAATTATTGGTCTAGACCTATATCGATTGGTACACAAATCTTGAAAAAATATTTCCAGTCTTGTCATGTCAAAAACCTCAGTGGAGTTCCTTTAATCAACAATGAAAAATCATCTAAGTTCAAACATATATTGTATATCTATAAACTTTATATTTGTAGATATCTATATTAAATATTACCCTGTGTCTCTCCACATTCACATTAATCATATGACAGTTTATTCTTTTCAGAAAAAATGGTATTTACTTTAATTTTAATACATCGTTGTAAGAAAAAAAAACTGGAAAAATTTAACATTTCATGAAAGATAAAATAATTCAGAAAACATTAATCAGTGACAACATAAGAAGCAATCTTCTGAACACAAATTTGATATAAAATATTAAATTTTTCTGACACTTAACCTGCACAATTTCTTAGATGTTCTTGTCCATTTTCTAATGATGCCAGTTTTGGAACTATCTATTATTAATTTAGGGATATTGAGATTAAATTTAAAGCTGCATGTCTCCAGATGAGCCCAAATATTTCAAGGAAATCAAACTTGAGAGAAAAAATGTACGAAATTTTTAAGAAAGGTAAAAAGATTCAAGTAAGAGTTTACATATTACGTGCAATTATATTGTTATTGCCATCAAGTAAAGCCAACATTTCAAGAAATGCCTTATAACTATAGACCAGAATGTAAAATGAATGGAGTTACAAGACAGACAAGCTGATGATTTCATTTGTTCAAAAATAGCGAAGATGGTAAATACATACCGTAAAATTCCTATTAAACGCCCCCGGGGGCTAAACATTTTCCAAAAGGGGGGCTATTATTACAACACGTTTTTCCTAAATCCAAAAATCATTGAAAATACATTTAGTGTAACATGGGTTGGTAATAACATTAAAATGTGTTAAGATTTTAAAGTTCATGTGATACATTTTTGTGTTTACTATGAAATAAAATGGATTCTGAAGGATTTGAATAAAATTACAGATTTATTAAAGAGTTCACCACTCATGAGCAGATTTTTCTCTATATCAAAAAGCCTGTGGGGGGGGGGGCTTTTATTAGAGGAGGGGTGTTTATTAGGATTTTTACGGTAATACAATACAAATAGCTTTTGACCTAGAAAAAATACATAAACATTTTATATAATATTCAGAATTCAACATGTAAAGATATCATTTTTTTACCCTGATATTTTTTATCAAAATGTTACATTTAATCTTACACCTGCGGAAATTGCCCCAATCATCACACCCTGATGACAGTGTAGAAAATGGCCAAAGTGCATGGACGTGCAGGCTGACCTAACTATGAAGGCAAATATTCCCGCAAGTTAGGGGTTCAAGCAAGGTTGATCGCTTATACCTTGGTTCTTTTATTGATAAGTAGCCTAGTATAGAAAAGAATAAAAATCTGTTTTTAAATTTTTTTAAATAAATACATGCAAATAGCTTCGAAGTGAATATGAAATAAATTGGTATTTAACTTGTGGCCTATGCTTCAAAAAAGCTATTAAAAAGTCATCAGTATTCAAAATAAACAAACAAAGCCCTCTTGATATATACATGTACAAATATCAACAACAAGAAAAGCTTATGTAAGTATGTCAGTAAATGAAGACAAAAAAAAACAACAAACAAACATAAAATGAAAATATCAAGTGATCCATACAATTACAATGGGATTTCGATGTAAACAAAAAATAAACAAAAATATAAAAACCACTAAAAAAATCTAAGATCACACAGATTTTTAAATAATAAAAAAAAACACAATCTTAAAACTATGATATGTGAATCTAATCATATTGAGCTATACAAATTACCTTAAAGGTCCATTATGCCTCAGAAATACATTTATTTTTATTTCACAAAAGCTTTTTAATTTTGGTGTACTCTTGTAGTATCCAAAAAGTTACTAGGGGCATGACATATCTTTTTTTTTTCATCTGTTGCTTTTTGGCAATACCTATAGTTATAGTGAATTAGTATTTTGTATGTAGGTCAAATTACTACTTATATACTGATTATATTTTGCTACTTTTATAACAAATTTTGTCACATTTATCCTGCTTAATTCAGGTAATAAGCATCTTAAATTCACTAAAACTATTATTTAAACATTATAAAAATCATGTTTTCCCTTTTTTAAGAAGTAAACTTTGTTTCTAAGGCATAATGTGTCTTTAATGTGTATTTAAATAATAATTACAAATGTCTAACACAGTTTATTACATAATTCATACACATATATATATACATACAGTGACATTATAATTCAAAATGGATTTTTTTACAATTACAAATCTATTATCTATACAAATATATTATCATTTATGATTAAACCCTTAAACCTCCTGAATTTCTTAAATGAACTTGCCCAAATTCCTTTTTTGGAATGGTCTATTATCAGATAATATAAAGTTAGTTAGCCAACAGTATGGGTCCAGGTCAGACTGTACTGTTAAACATATTCAAATATACTAAATATGGCCATATGCTTTTTGCTGCCTTAAAATAATAAAAAAAAAATTGATTCAAAAATACAATTTGAGTAGAATTTTATCTATGGCACATGTATTAATAAATTTATTAAAATGACACTTTTGTATGACTGTGAATGAGATAAGCTATTGATACTGAAATATTTTTTTCCAAAAACAGTAAATCTCATAATGGCGCTTTAACAATTGGAGAACATAATGGGCCTTAAACAATCAGAGTAGGACAAAAAATGTTTTGAACCAATTTTTCTTAAAACATAAAAAATGTCTTAAAATGTTGAAAATAAAGTGTACAAACGTTTTATTTATTATGAAGTAAAAGATATATATACATGTATTTTTATTAATATATATAGGAACACAATCATTAACAATGTAATTAAAATTTTTGATCAATTTTTATATTGCATCTAAATTATTATATGTAAGAAATATATGTGAACTAAGATAGAATCTAAAGTATTACACACTGTGCAAAATGTTAATAAGAACTGACAAATCTGGAGTAGAAATAAGATCATTCTGAATGTATAATTCTTAAGTAATACAATACAGAGAGATTCTATAGCTCAAAATATAAAAACATCTTTGTTCCTTTTGTAAACTGAGCTGATATTAAAATAATAAATAACAAGGGCACTGCATCCCGTATTAATACTCATCTGTTAAACTAATCACTTTTATCATAAATTCTAAGTTAAAAAGGGACACAACTCCAAAAATAAAGCTTTCAAAATTATGCCCCTTGTCTAACATCAGCCTTACGTCATGGTAAGCAAGTATTACATGTTTTATACTGTTATGTCATTGCACCACAACAACAATGATGACAACAACAACAACAACAACAACAACAACCATGATGTCAAAGCGATCATAATAGCTCAACTTTTTCTTCAAAAAAACAACAACAAAAAAAACGAAAAGCTAAAACGTATAAACTGCTCATTTAAAAAAAAGATCTATTTCCACATGTCCATAAAAATTAAAAAAGTTGACATCATCTTTAAACAAATGTTTGTGTCATCTTACAATGTAAATAAATATATAAAAATTAGAATAAGAATTAAAAAATAGAATTATTTACACCCATGGGAATGTTCAGTTTATGTCACTTATTCTCTTACTTAAAGTGAGTAAAAAAAGTACTCTTTATCATGAATACAATAAAATAATTAAGTTAAGTACTCTGCAAAGTACATAAAATAGTTAAGGTACATAACTTTATATCAAATTAAAAAATATCAAAAACTTAAGTCATGGCCGACCATAAACAAACATTCTGAAAGTAGCCTGACCGTAAATCAGGCATTCTTAATGTTACCTACCCAATAGCCATTTGAAATGCCTGATGCCAGGTAAGAATTGATCACTCAGATTGTGAATGTTGGTGACATAGTCGACATGCTGACTGTAATGTTTCACTAACCAAAAACACAATATACATAGTATCATGTAAGGTCATAAAGTAACAAGTAATTGTGTTAAAAGAGTTTAAAAAAACAACTTATGTATTTAATAGTTTTCTTTCATTTCAGAAAGTTAATAGCGACTTTCCAACTTTAGTGTTGGCCCCTCTGTGCATTAATTCAGGCACAAACCAACACCAGAGTAGAACAACCGACATTTCGTAAGCTATCTGGACAGCTTCCTCACATGAAAGAATCCAAAACCTCACTATCGAACAAATTATCATTAAACATTCATCATTCACAAATATAATTGGCTTTGAGTTAAACAAAGCTACTGTCATGAAATATTTCTATAAAGCTAATATCTTTAGAAATCTAATTATACAAAATGTAAACAAAACAATACATCCCAATAAATTACATAATTAAACTGCAGTTTTTTGTAATCTAGAATTTAGTTCAAATTATTAAGACTATACATATTCTGTAACAATAAATACATGTAAATAAGTGTTATATTATATAAACAGTAAAATTCTTAAAGCAGCATGCCTCCAGATGAGCCAAAATATTTCAAGAAAATCAAACTTGAGTAAAATGTAATAATATTTAAAGAAAAGTAAAAAAAGATTCAAAATTCAAGTTATAATTTACATGTAATATGCAATTAATGACAGATTTTGCAGTACATGTATTCATCACCATGTTGTCACCAGGGCTTCCATTAGTGGAAGTTTGGAAGTCATTTACTCCCAATTTTTCCTTGTGACTTCCAAAATTTCAAGATTTTCCTTCTTTACCTATATACCTAGACTTCCAATTTCAGAGACTTGGCAGTCTCTGACTTCAAAATTTTGGAACTTAGTGGAAGCCCTGTTGTCACTGCATGACTAACGCAATAAGGGCTATTTTTGCACATTTTTTAGACCATTTTTGGTAATTAATGTGGATTGTAAGTGCCCTTTGCAATGTATAAATTTCCATGTTCGCTTCAAAATATTTTACTTTTAAATACATTTTGTAAGATTTTCACAAAAATAAGCTCAATTTGGATGCATGCTGCTTTAAAGGGTGTAAAAACTGTAACATGTACAATAACAAATTCAAAAACTGTGCAATCATGTCATCTTATGGTAATATCTAGACAAAGTTATAAAATTATTAAGAGTCACTTTTGTTTAATGTAAACAAATTATGTAAGACACCAATAAAACTCACTAACAAAATATCAAAATTTCTGCAATTTTGAAAAAAAAAAAACCTTCAGTCGTAATTTCAAATATGCTTTATTGGAAATTTTAAAAAATCCATTCTTTCAATTTAAGTACAGTGCCATGGTACATGTCTTTATCAAGATACAAAACAAAAAGCCTCTAAATTACTGGATACCCAACATTGTTTTATAGCATTTAACAAAAGCTGTCCGTATGACAGCCCGCTTGACTATTCTCAGAGCTTGACAGTTAGAAAAGGGCCATAACTCTGTAAAAAGGTATCTCAGAGTTATGCAACCAATGCTGTTATGGAACCAATGCCTATCTTGTTAGAAAATCACAGTGAACAGAGTGTGTGAAGTGTGAACCTTTTCCCTTCAGTGCATTTGAAGATACCATCTTGCATATAAAAACTCAACCAAAGGGTGACAGAGACACCAAACCCAACAGGGCGAGTACATGTACAACAGCTCTCCCTATTCTTAGAATAGTGGAACTAAAAATGTTACTTTTCATTAACATACATGTATACAAAAAAGTATGTCTGCATTAAGTTTGATAGTTTACCATTACCAACCAAGCTCTTCGACATTAAGACTTTAATTTACCATACAGTAAGGTATTCAGACAGCCTTTACCATACAGATAGATCTTCAGGATTTCATTTTAACAAGTGGGATGCTGCGTGATTGAAGGCAATGGTCACATGCCCATTCCGCGTAAACCTCCTGAGTTAACATGATAAATGCTATCTCTGTTAGACCGGTACAGCTGCGATGGTACCAGAAATTACACCCACTTTCACACAATATAGCCTGATCATTGTCATGTACTTCTTTATGGCATATACCACACGGATATATCGGGGGAGCATTTGGATTAGATGGATTGAACACCATTGATGCTGAACTTGGGTAAACTTTTCCATTGCTTTGCGGACCCATAGCTGACATCTGCCCTGGTTGAGGCATACGGTGATTCATTGGATGCCCGGGACCTGGGCCAGGTCCACCTGGGTAGGGGTAAGGACCCTGAGAGCCAGGCATCGGACCTCCGCGACCCTGACCAGGGCCACCCATCATGGGTCCCATATGGTTCGAGTATGGGCCATCAGGCATTGAATTTGGAGAAAATGGCATGGAGTTCGGTGGGTATCCACGTGGATCATCCATGGGATTTCCGGGCATCATAGGACCATAATTGCCCATAGGTGGAGGTATCATGTCCGGTGTTCCTGGACTTGCCTGAAAATAATTGAATATGTCTTGATAAAATCATATACTATAGCCTTTTTATAAGGCATATATTGTCACCTTAGTGCAGTAATGGGTTAACTCTTTATAAATTATTTAAAGACATAACCCGTTATTGCACCAAAGTGACGATATATTGATGTTACAGGTTTGTTATCTGGCAATCATTTCGAAATTATATCTTTCTTTACCAGTACATGTATACTCTATCTTAGATTCTCATACCATCTAAACTTAAACTTTCCTTTATCTGTTTATTCAACTTAAGTTATCTGTTGATAATATTATGATCAGTTCTAAAATGGAAACATCTATAAACTTTGTAATAAAGCTATTTAAAATTGAATACTTCTATTTCTAAACCAAATCTTTCCTGAAACATTTACATGGTGTTAATACACAGATGAAATTGCCTGTCATAAAACATAATTTGTTTGTTTTGTTTGTTTCATTGGGTTTTACGGTCACACAGACACATATGGCAATGCTCCAGCTTTACTGGTGAAGGAAGACCTTAGGTGCCCTTCTGTGCATAATTTCAGGCACAAAGAGGCACCTGAGTAGAACCACCGATGTTCCGTAAGCTAGCTGGATAGCATGTCCCTGTCGGGATTCGAACCCACAGCAGTGAAAGGCAAGTGGTTTGAAGTCAATGACCTTAGCCACTCGACCAGACGCCCCAAAACAGAATTTGAAATATTATATTAATTTATAGCATAATTATGCTGAACAATCATGCTTATTAGTCATATCATAGCACTTGTATACTACTATATGTCTAGTACATATCTATCTGAGTTAATACAATTAAGTAAAAAAATTAATGATTATCAAGCGTAATATTGCTTTTACCCTCGACTTTTTCCGGCGTTTTGTAGGAGCACTAGGCTGGCTGAATCCATCACCTTCCGCATCTAAAGATATTCAAATAAAATATTATAAAAGTGAAGAACTTTATCAAATATCAATTCTGTAAATTTCTAATATTTTGAATGAATGAGGAAAATGTCGCAAATTTAAAGTCAATGTTAGAGAAATTCAAATAGTTAACAAGTTGTATAAGACTAGATTATTTTACTTAGCCCTTGAATTTCAGTTGGTTTTATATTTAAATCTAATTTTCCCGTTCTGTAGTCCTTATTTAAAAGTCATTCCCTGAACATTACTAAGTACCTAAAAACAAAGATTGTTTCCGCTCTTAATTATGACTATGAGGTTCTTTACAGAACTATTTTCTTTTATGTTTAAATGCATGTATGCTTATTCTTGAGTAAAATATTTGAATAACAGAATTCTATATAATTCTTACTGAGTATGCCTAATTTGAATAAAAGAATGGAGTAACTTTGTATTGATAAAGTAAATTTGGGTCCTTTCTTAAAAAAACTGCCAGTTTTTTTTATGACACTATATATTCATATTGTGACCACCTATAGTGTGGAGTTTTAAACATATCTACATAACGATAAAAGCCGATGTACTCTGATTGAAAACGGAAGCGTAGACTGGTGTCCTTATATGGGAACCATAATAGAAAGGGGGAACTAGAATAAACGGAAGCAGTGTATAAAATACCAAATGACAATTTTAAAATGGAAAATGTAAAATAAAATTGAATGATTATTTTAAACTATTTTACGGTAAAAGAAAATCGAGCTCGCTTTGAGGCTTTGCCTTTTTCATATTATTTTTTGGTATTCCATAACTTGAAATTAAAGCAACAATAAGAAGTTATTTGACTTCTACTTTGTGCCTATTACAGCTTTTCAGTATCTGCAACAATTCATCATTGATAATCAGCAAAATTACAATAAAATAAAATTTTACAAAATATTGACAAAGAAAATTAAACGCGAAATCATGTTACAAAAGAGGAAATCTTTCTGCAAGTTATACATTGAACATGAATATTTAGAATCTTACTTAGCGCCTTTGCTCTTCCTCTTGGCATTGTATAAATATATTCTGTAAGATATTAGATTATCAATTCGTGGGCATTTTTGTAAATATTTTGATGAAAAAAAAAGAAAATATATCGGTGATCTATGGTAATTAGTGATTGTATTTTTTATTGAGGTTGTACACCACCAAATAGGAATGACTAAAATCTGCAACGGGGAATTCCGGCTTTACCAGAAACATTATGTGACTGTCTGTATTTCATTTACTTCACTTCATTTTTACTTTAAAATGTATCCATGGAGGTTAATAAAGATGTATGTATTGTAGATCTGTGATGTATCTAAGTCTCCATTCTCTACAAAATCGTTTGCTAATATGATAGTCAATGATATGACCAATACAGGTGAACAGAAGGGATATCACTCCAATACCAAAATTATAGCCCCCATCAACCTATACAAAATATTAAAATATCTCAGAGAAAGGCGCTGGGAAGCTTCTCAGTAATCTCAATCATATCATCAGTGCCAGACCAAATAAGATCAATCGTTCTAAAGAGAGTCAGTAAAGAAATATACACCATTTTTATGATGAGGATACTAATTCAGAAGTATCATATTGCGCCAGTACAAATTACATACTGTAATATTCGTTATTATATTCTATATTAATAATGTTTGTTTGTTTGTTTCTTTTTTTTCTTTCTTTCTTTCTTTCTTCCTTAATACATGTATATGCATGCATACATTCAATGATATGAGGAATGGTACACCTTCTCAAGCATGTCTTCTATCTTTTGAATGACCCCCTTAGTAACTCGTGCGCATCGCATTAGTTATCTTGTGCACATGAGATAAATATAAACACACATGTCACCTCTGTGCCACCGTAATTACCTCATTTCTGGGCGAAAGAATGAAAGATGTATTACCTGCCAATAGACAGAACCTTTTTTAAGTGGTGAATTAAATCCGTGTCCTAACAGAATCAAAATTTCTGAGAGAAAAAAAGTTGATGGATAACATACTATTTTGGGGTTTCATTTAAGTTGGATTGTGTTGATGTTAACAGTTGAAGAAAGTATATTATTCATCAAGGATAATGGAATCCAGAATCAAGTCTCAAATATGACTGATTAACTATAGAACATTGAGAACGAAATTTGACTAGACCGTGTCCGGATACTACGTTGTTAAAATTTAGTGGTATTTGGCCAATATTTTTATTTACGGTATATTGACCGTCAAGTTTATGCACAGACTTTAGCATAAACTTGTCGTCTTCAGATTTCTCTTCCTCTTCCGCATTTAGATAAAAAAAAACAAGTTGAAATATCCGGAAATCAAGAGTAGGGTTAACCTGTGTTGAGAATTGATTAAAGTAAAAATGTCGCGATCTCAAAGACCTGTCAGACCACCTCCACCTGTTCCAAAACCAGGTAAATTAGCGACACTTTATTAAGATAATTTTTTTGACAGTTCCTGTCAGTGTTTTTAGTGTCACCTCATGTTCCTGTCATTTTTTCATTGAAATTGGCGGTGAAACATTCATATGAAATAACGTGTACAGTTGTTTAGGCAGTAGCGGATTTTAGGGTATAGCGGATACCATGGTAACAACGTTGCTCCTTTCCACCAGAAATGAATGTAGATCAATTTAAGCAGTGTCAAAAATATGAGATTATCTTGAAAATAAGGATATATATTTCTAGTATTAAATCTAAATATCAGGGTTCTCACTAGGACTTTAAAACATGGAGTCCATGGACTCCCAACCCTGAAAAAGTTGGGAGTCCAAAAGCGCGTCGCAATTAATATGTTTACAGATTAATCATTCAATGCTCACAATATCATTGCTGATATTTTGAATCTTCAAGAGACTTCCAAAGTTTATAGTTATTCAAAGGAAACTCTGAACTACATAGTATAATTATTGTTTTGTTGTTAATATTTATTATGAAATTATTTCATTATAATGCATCAACACATGGAACCCGTTTTTTTTTTTTTTTCACTTTTATACCAAATCAAATTTTATTCTGGTTAAATAAGTCCACTCTTAAGGCAAAAAGTTTGTATTTGTAAAAAAAAACGTAAATTTATGTATATAGGCAGCGTTTAGCAGAAAGAATAGGAAAATCGTGTACAGCTTCACATAGTGTGTAAGAGATTCATCCGATCAACATTTATTTTAGCAAATATCTTCAAAAGGGGGCAAATTGAAGATCGATAATTAAAGATTTAATGTTGATTAAATAATAAAGAAACAATTCATTCGCATGTTTGGCTTTGAAACCAAGAATTTTTGCGAAATTTTAGGGTTTCTGGCGAACGTGAAATCGCCGATGTTCGGGATCAATTTTCGGATAGAAGAAAAGCGTATGTGTACCTGGCATTTCGGCACAATATCTTAAATTCTTAATACTCTTATAGGAAGTTTTTGCAAGAATGAAACTAAAGCAAAATTGTGCCTAGAAAATGCCGAAAAATATTAGACAATCATTAAGAATTACACTCATTTGTAATTTGAGAAAACAGTCTTTAAACTTGGCTGCGGCGTAAATAGTCGATAATTTTATATTTAAACCAATATTGACAAAGTTGAGATGATCCAGAGACGTGCAATAAGATGTGTTAAAAGGGATTACTCCCCTCACTCTAGTGTCACAGCCATGCAGGAAGAACTGGGCTGGCGATCCCTTGAACATCGCAGATTGGACTGTAGACTGATAATGTTTTATAAGATATACCATAACCTAATTGCAATTAATCTCCCAACATATGTTCAAACCCCACATAGATTAACCAGACCAATGCACCCCTTATCCGTACGCCAAATACAGGTATCCTCCGACTACCATAAGTACTCTTTCTTCCCTCATAGCATTATACTATGGAATAAACTTCCTAGTAACATTGCCACCCTGCCCAACCTGAGTCAGTTCAAACAGGCAGTGGTGGGTTTGCAGTACTAGTCTTACTCCCAGTGTTTTTAAACTATTTTATCTCTTATCATCTTGTTTCACTATTAACATTTTAACCATGACTAGAATACATTTTCAGTCTCACCTTCCAAGCATGTCAATGTTTGGACTTTTCTTTTTTAGCTTTTCTTTTCACCTTTTACTAACAATCCGACGTGCACTAAATTCCTGCCTTTAACACTCGTAAGAGGGGTTGGCAGTATACATAGATAGATAGATAAATTTTGAAAAATGGCTAGCGTTAGGTACTGAATTGTATGGTTTAGTGTGGGACGAAAGTTCCAGCCACACATAAATCATGTTTGACAAGCTTATATGCCTGGGAATACCCACTCGTCCACTGTAGTCATTACCTTAATCTCAATATTTTGACTGCAAGACCGACCGATTCTAAAGTCTGATATTACATAGATGTCTGTCTTTACAGACCATCGAAGGGCGACCATCACCTTTATAATAAAAAGCCCTTTTTAGCTCGACTATTCGAAGAATATGGAGAGCTATTGTAGTCGCGTCGACATCCGCGTCTGCGTCTGCGTTGGTTAAAGTTTTTTGTAAAGTCAAATATCTCTCAATTATTGCTTGAGATATTCAATTGAAACTTACAATACTTATTTATAGTTACAATGTACATCAGATTGACAAGTTGGATAACTCTGCCTACAATATTTACAGAATTATGCCCCTTTTTAACTTAGAAATTTTGGTTAAAGTTTTTTGTAAAGTCAAATATCTCAATTATTGCTTGAGATATTCAATTGAAACTTACAATACTTATTTATAGTAACAATGTACATCAGATTGACAAGTTGGATAACTCTGCCTACAATATTTACAGAATTATGCCCCTTTTTAACTTAGAAATTTTGGTTAAAGTTTTTTGTAAAGTCAAATATCTCAATTATTGCTTGAGATATTCAATTGAAATTTACAATACTTTTTTATAGTAACAATGTACATCAGTTTGCAAAGTTGCATAACTCTGCCTGCAATATTTGCAAAATTATTTTCCCCTTTGAAACTTAGAAATTTTGGTTAAAGGTCTTCAAAGGTATTTACTTGAAACTTTACACATGTACTTAGGGTCATAATTGAAGGTCATATCTCAAGATTCATTACTCTGCCATGTACTTTGACTGAATTATGCTCCCTTTTGTACTAAAAAAATCTCCTTTTCTTGGTTAAGTTTAACATGCAAGTTTTGCATATCTCTGAAACTATTAAAGATACAAACTTGAAACTTTATATGTATATTTGTGGTCATAGATAATGATCACTGAACAGCACTCATATCTGTGTCATGTATTTAGGCTGATATATCTCCCCTTTTTTTACTTAGTCTCTTGGTTAATGTTATACATGTACATATCTCAATAACTATCTGAGATTTTGAATTGAAACTTCACATATACATGAAGGGTCATAATTTGTATGTCACTGACCAAGTTCCATAACTCTATCTTGCATTTAGGCTGATTTATCTCCCCTTTTCTACTTAGTCTCTTGGTTAATGTTTAAATGCAAGTATTACATATCTGAATAACTATTAAAGATATTTATTTAAAACTTCACATATGCATTTAGGGTCATAATTGTAGGTCACTGACCAAGATCCATAATTCTATCTTGCATTTAGGCTGATTTTTCTCCCCTTTTTCAACTTGGAAATTCATGGTAAAGTTTTGCTTGTAAGCTGTTATCTTCATAACTACTGAAGTAAAGCAGTGATTTACTTGATAAAACATCTTAATAACAAGCCTTTGTACCTTTTCTGTCAATTTTATGTATTTATAGGTAAGCATTATTATACTCAATAAAACACCCTTGTGACAACTTTTTCGAATAGTCGAGCCTTACTGTCCTTCGACAGTTCTTGTTTAAAGTGCACAATTTGTTGGGCTAGTCATTACCTATACTGTATAGCTATGTACATGCTGTTATAGCCACTTTCTAAATATTTGGGATAATTTTAATTTAGAATTAAGAATACCAAAAATACAAAGTGCGTTATTGTAGATCTATATTTCTTTTACTTCCAGGTCATGTGAAAGTAGTCAGAGCTTCATACAAATATGACGCACAACAGGTAAATCAACATTGTTGATATTAAATACTGAGAAATAATGATGAAATCAAATTCTTATTTTCATCTTCCATATATTCATGAATAAACAGATTAATAGTAGTTTAATCAATAAGAAAACATCACTTTCACAATATTATTACAACTTTTATATTTATGTATATATGTATTATAATTTATATAATAGGAAGACCTATCCTTCTCACCCAGATATGGTTGACAGCATCTCACTTTTGATTAAGTTTTCTTCAAACTACCCCACTTATTTCCTACACCTTTTGAGTTATTGCTTTGAAACTTTGTATACTCGTTAGTGACCACAATCCCCACTTCCAGGTAAATGGAGATAACTCCAAGGATAATGACAAAATAATCAGGGATTTTTTTTGGCTTATTTTATAGCTGTTATTGGGTCATATTCCCAATTGAAAATAGTATATTATTTTCCCAATCCACAGGAAAAAATCCCAATTGAAAGTTACAAAATAAAAATGTTGAATAAAAATTCTAAAATCTTTGCAAATAAGGGCTTCTTCACTGTAATAATGCTTAAATGTTTGAAGATGCCATCTTAGACAGTAAGTGTTTACATCCATTAAATCACTGCAAAATTTCAGTCATGCAATTTTCCCCAACTTTTAAAAAAACACCGCTGAATTTCCCAATAACTTTGAGGTATTGCTTTTAAACTTTAAATGCATGGTAGTGACCATCATGTCCACTTCAATGCATGTACTGGCACTAGTCAAGCATGCTGTCTTATAAACAGCTCTTGTTTTATATATTATAGATTAACATTGGGTAAATTTACTAAATTATTATGCTATATTTGAAACTGTTATAGAATGACGAGTTATCATTTGAAGAAGGAGAGTTACTCTATATAACAGACATGTCTAATAAGGACTGGTGGCGAGCTCGTTGTGGAAAAAGATCGGGCCTTATTCCCAGTAATTATGGTATGTGTAGGGTTTTGTTAAAGATAATAATAAGTTATCTTCCCTAAAGCGATTATATTTAGACCAATAAAATAGATATAAATTTATTTGGTTTTCTGTGGTATATTTGAAATTGTGATTTTTAATCAATATCTTTCAATGCCACACAATACTATATCTTTATCTTAAGGACCACTTTGGATATAAGTGATTGGTTTAAGTCTTTTGTTTTGTTTGTGTAATCTTTGATATTATATAACATTGTACATGTAACATAGCTATTTTATATCAATTCATACATGTACATATTGCATCTGTTTTTGTATGTTTTTTTTATGTTATTCAATTCTATATTGACATATACTGGTTGGGGACCACCAAAACCAGACGACCATCAAACTTGGATGGCCCCAAAAGTACTTTATTTAGCTGATTTCTTTGTACAGTGGTTTCTGATCAATCAGTCGCTTTTTTATCAACAAGAAAAGCATGTTTCTTTTATAATTAGTTAATAAAATTGATCGTAACTTTCTGAAACATTAATATTTTTATTACAAAAACATTGATGCAGGAAACCCTAATGTAAAGAGTGCAATACCTGGCCTCTTTTTACAAGCAGAGTTAAAGTTACATGCCTCCAGATGAGTCAAAATATTTCAATAAAATCAAACTTGAGAAAATTGTACTAAGATGTAAGGAAAAGTAAAAAGTTTCAAGATTCAAGTAATATTTTACATATTATGTGCGATTAATGACTGATTAATTAGTATTCACAGTATCGGTATTTACAACTATATTTCTACTACGTTACTAACGCAGTAAAGGTTATTTATGTATATTTTGACCACTTTTTGGTAATTTACGTGGTTTGTAAGTGCCATTGATATAGTTTAATTTGTGTCCTTTTGGTTACTTCACAATATTACACATTCAAATACATTTTCAAAATTTTCATGAAAATTAGCATTAATCTGGAGGCGTGCTGCTTTAAACAGTAGAACACTCAAAATCAACTTTTATTCATGAGCGCAGACTAATTTCAAATTTTACCCGAGAGTGCAGCACAGGCCAATAGTAGTCAAAATATATTGATGTGTCAAAGCTAGATTCTGAGATATGTTTGTTCTTGGCCAGAATCTTGCTTCTAGAGGGGACATAAAATTATTACCCATACTGTTACAAAAATGGCACAATATATCATCATCGTATCATAATATACATGTAAGTACAATTAGTTGGATTGAGGCCAACAGGTTAAAAAGTTAATAAGCGTGAAACAAAGTGCAGTGGTTTGTCAGTTTTTTTTTCAATTTTCAAAACAACCCATGGCTTTCTGAAGGGGAAAATAAAGCATGATGAATCAGAAATGGGGGGAAAACCTGAAATCAAATTCCAACAACTGAGAATGGAATTTAGCCACACATTTTATAAAATGTTCAATTTCAATTTTATTTAACATGCATGGTACATAGCAGAGGCTATCTATACGGTAGTTACAGCTTTTTGTCTTTCAGTGAATTCAATTCATCAACTAGCTGATGTAAGTCAGTTGCTGTTAAGTCATGGTTCTAGTGAAGAATGTGCATTTTTATAACATTTTTAGGTGAAAATATACATATTTAGGGGAAAATACACATATTTAGGGGAAATATACCTATTTAGGGGAAATTATACATATTTAGGGGAAAATTTACATTTTTAGGGGGAAAATATACATATTTAGGGGAAAATATACCTATTAGGACAAGGAGAAAAAATTATAGGGGAAAAAAATCACTGAAGTGTCTTGATATTTTTCAGTTGAAGAAAACACAGAGACCATTGATTGTCCACTACACGAGGCAGCTAAACGTGGAAATATCACATTCTTGAATGAATGCTTAGATAATAGTGTAAGTTTTGCAACACTTATGACATGCTTTTAAACGCAGCCTACAGCTTTTATTTTTCTGTTGGAAAAAACAATTCTGTGTTGTTGTAAATCACTTTATATTCGCATGATCTTTGTTTCGCAAAAACCCCATCCCCAGATTATTTCGCGTATTCATAAATTCGCGATGGCAGGGTCAGAAATTTATATTTGCGATTGTTTGAATTTTATTGCTACAATATAACAGGGTAGGTTTACTTTAATTTCCATATTGTGCCGCACTTATTCAGGGTAAATGTTAATAGTGTAAATAAGAGACAGTTATTTATTTATTTTGTATACAAAATATACCTACAAACATGTAATTGACTTGTTATGAACGGGTTTGCTTATCTTTCGTTTAATTTGGTTATTGTTTGCAAAACGCATATTTGATAAAACGTTAAAGTTTGTAAGAAGGTGTAATATACGTGTTTATAATACTTCATCTACAATTCGTAAATTGTCAGTTGATCACTGTTTTACCGTAAATCTATTGTTATCTAATCAATAGGTGTTCACATTTGTCTGTAAAAGGCAAAATTTGTAGATATTGTCGCAAAATAATGTTAGCATTTTGTGCTTGATATACATGTATTCATGAGGAATAAGGAATTGGAAAAATAATAGCGAAATTAAAACATCGCGAAAAAGTACCGGATTTACAGTATCTTGGAAAAGTGCATCATATCACTGTGAGGCCTTCTTAAAAACGGCTTCCCGATAGCTATTAATAGACTCTTGTGATGATCGTTTCTAAAAATAGAAGATTATGAAACAAATCATCATCATAACTTATGTACATATAGAGAGCGGACTGTTAGATTAGAGGTATCTGTATCAAGGGGTTTCCATATTGTTTATGTATTTCATCAACGGCAAATTTCATTTTCCATCTTAATTATTTTGATTTGACAATGATATGAAATGGTTTATCTAAAAATAACACATTTAACCTGTAGAAAAGCTGAAAACAGAAATAGCTAATATTTAATTTATTTGTCTTTTGCCAACATATTTGTCTTAAGAGATGTCATAAATTTGAAAACTTTATTTGTTTATTTTCCTCAAACTGTATTTAACAATTATTCATTTATAACTATTTACATGTATGTACGCACATCTAGTCTCAGGCCTACCTTTAATACTTTAATACCCCCAAATCATTTGGTTAGGGGCTTGGGGGTGGGGTTTATAGATATGCCCTTGTTAATCCTTTCAGTTCATACTTTTGTCACATCAATTTGAACAAACTGTGTGTAAACAAAATGAGCTGCGTCATGACAAAACCAACATAAAAGATTTGTGACCAGCATGGATCCAGACCAGCCTGCGCATCCGCGCAGTCTGATCAGGATCCATGCTGTTCGCTATCAGTTTCTTTACTTGTTATAGGGTCTGTAAGTGAACAGCATGGATCCTGATCAGACTGCGCGGAAGTACATTTTGTTGGTTTTGTCTTGACTCGACTCAAATACTATTATTGTGGTTTTTTTGACAAATAATTTATAACAAAAATGTTTAGAAATAAAATATTACAAGTGCCTAGTATGTTAAAACACTGTCCCTTTCTTTTTATCAATCCAATGTTAACGATACTTTGTAAAGGATGTTTATTGAAAAATTTTCCGAGTCACTATTGATAATACACACGAAATTGACTATTGAATTGAAAACAATTATGGCAAAGTCTAAAGTTATTTTGACTTTAACTTGTACATCAACCATTTACACTTGGATGGGCATAATGTCACTTTAAAAAGTTTGGTTTATATCTTAGTAATTAATAACTTTTGCGTGCTTAACACAAAAACAAACAAAAACAATTCTGTGAAGAAGAAAAAAATTATTGACTTAATCACTTTTGACAGTAAACTGAAATTATTTTTTTCTTTTGTCAAAAGTTTTGACAATTATAGTCTGAAACTATGATTTAGACTCTAAAGGTCATCTTTGATGTCCTGGTAATTCCAGTATTATGTGAAGAAAAAAAAATGACTAAAATCAATTTATTTTCCTGTTTCAGTACTTGTTTATTGTGTTGCATCTTTAATTTAATGTTATGCATGATATTGTAAAGCATAAATAGAAGAAAAAAATAAATGAAAGTTGAATTCAATTGTAATTTGAATCTATTAATTTCTTTGTAGACAGATTGTTTTCACTTTAAAGTTGATATTATCCTTATTATAATACCATATCATTAACATATTTGTTCAGGAAGTTGTAATACCTTGTGTTGATAGATACATGTCCCAGCTTATATAAAATTTCACAATACAGTAAAACTTGTGCAGAGTGACCCACTATAGAATACACACTTCCTCACAATAACCAGTTTTCCCAAGCTCAACAAATTGTGCACCAGCACTCTTTATTATATAGACGATGGTCGCCCTTCTCAAATACCGACATCTATGTAATATCAGTTTGTAAAGTCGGTCAGTCTTAAAGTCAATATATTGAGACTACAGTTTTATGCACAACTAATACTTCACAATCAATTTAACCTCTCTTAAAGCAACACCTTTGTACAGCAACCAAAGACATTGTATCCTAAAGGGGGTTGCTCTGTAAAGGTTTGACTGTACATAATCTTTTTATATTTGTTATACATACAGATAAAATTAATAGTTTAAATGCTAAAATGCGATCATAAAAAAAATATTGTCTTTATATATTTCAATGAAATTTTATATACCTTATAACTGCAGAAACAAAGAATTTTGAAATGTCCTGTCAAAATTGTGTCTTAAAAGTTAAAATTTAGATTTGAATGAAATTTTCATTAATTACAATTGAAAGTATTTACAATTCTATGTTAGAAATGCCCCCATCTGAATTTTGTTTACCGTTTTCATGTTATTGATTATAAAATAATTACTTTAAGTTGTCTAAAGTTATTAAGAATATTTTGTATTATTATCTTTAAAAGGTATGAGCTTTTAATTGTTTTTTTAATGGTGTAAGGATATTTTGATTTTGAAAATGCAGAATAAATTGACCAGGCTTAGTGATAAAACAAAAAACCGTCCATTAGTTATTGTTGTAACAACTGTTGTAATAGGGAGAAATTATACATCTGTTTTGTACATGTATGTACATGTAAAATATCATGTCAATGACCTCACATGACTGTATGTCAATACATCAATGTCATAAATTATTATAATGACTCATAATTAATTCTGACAGGCTATATTGTCATTTCAAAAAATGCATTAATTACCTCCCTTTAATGTATTAAAGATCCTGTATATTGTAATTGAGGTTGTATACCACACTTAAGTGAAATTATATATATGTATATAGTTATGCTTATAAAAAAACAATTTTCAAACATAGAAGAATATTTAAATTATGTACTGCAAATATTTGTACATATTATATGTAATCATTAAAATATATGCATTCATTTCTTATTGAAAAAAATTGAGTCAAGACTTTATAGAAAATAAATTTTTTATTACCACCCTTTATTTACATGAAATGTTAAATTCGGTAATATCTTTATAAAAAAATGCTTATTGGAACTTACAAAATTGATAAATCTTACTTTGAGCATCATAATTATTTATGATATAAAACCATTAAAAAAATTGTTTTACAGGATCTTTAATTATTTTCTAGGTATCAGTTAACTCCCTTGATAAGGCAGGTTCAACACCACTACACTGGGCAGCTCATGGTGGCCATATTGAATGTTTACGTACTTTGTTAAATAAACCTAATGTACAAGTTTCTGTACAGGTAAGTTACAAATTTAGTTCATAAATTAAAATAGCATACTGATTTTATATCTAATAAGGCCGTATGAAACAGTTGATGATGAATAATCTTTTAAACCACTGGTGTTTGGCACCTGGATTGGTCACTACCTCCCCCTTTTAGTTCATTGAATTGTATTCTTTTGTTGTTTTTTTTGTGAGTTTTTTTCACAGACACTTTGGGTATGGACCTCAATACGTCTTTAAAATCATGGAGTTAAATGTATGTTATATCTGTGTTAAAATCCAAATAAAATGTATATTTGTCAATCCCAGCACAAGTATTGATCATATGTATCAAAAAAACTTAATATAAGCCGTTTTGAAAAAATTTCATGTTTCAACGTCGTGTATTATTATAGACGTTAAAATATGAAATTTTTTCAAAAGGGCTTATATTAAGTTTTTTTTATATATATGATCAGTACATGTGATGTGATTGACAAATATATATTTTATTTGGATTTTGAAGGCATTTTGAGGTCCACACCCAAAGTGTCAGTGAGTTTTTTCGGTTGGGGACTCCGGAGTATGGGTAGATAATAATTAAGAGAGTAATATTATGACAGGAACTTAGAGGAAGTTATCAGCTCACTTACGAAACGTTGGCAGTTATACTCAGGTGCCTCTTTGTGCCAGAAATAATGTACAGAAGGGCACCTAAGGTTTTCCTCTGCCACTTAACTGTTAAGCTGGAAAAAGGCCATATAACCTATACTGTGTTGGTGTAAAACTCAAACAAAGAAGAAAAAAGGAACTTTGTTAAACAATTAAACCACTTAATAATCATTTACTGATCAAAGAGGAGCTCTAACATGTCTTTCTATTGTTTCATCATGTCAAGTATTACTTTTAACCCTTAAAGGGACTCCATTGAGGTTTCTGTACATAAGGGGACAGGAAATAATATTTCGAGATTAATTTTCTATTTGATGTAGGTCTACACCAATAACTTGTATGTAAAATGTCAGATCATTCGCTCACCTTTTTTTCCAGAATGATTATTCTAATTATGAAAAAAAATAAATTAAAAAGCATGGCAAAGCTTTTTACTCAAATTGGGCTTAGAATGGGGCAAAAATACGATTTTCAGTTTATTTTTGAGTATATTTCTTAAGATCTTTTGCTAATCTTTGAACTGATTTAAGTGTCCAAGCTGATCTATGTAAAAATTCTAATTTTTTGTTTTTTTTGGCTTTTATACCTCAGTGGAGTTCCTTTAAACTGCTGAATTTGTGAAATGGATTTTCCTTGCTTTGAATTTTGAACAGCCCATTCAAAGTCGGAGGGATTTCAATATCATAATACGAAACTTGTGCTACCATTTGCAACAGAAATGGATGCACAATTTAATCTCCTGTCTCTATGCTGGTTGGCTAATCAGGTGAAGGGTTAACCGTTAGATTTGAAATGAAAAAAAAATGGAAACCATCTGTTTAGTACATCTGCGATTACCTTTATGCATATACTGTCACAGTATTTATCAAATTCTTGGGCATGAAATTTCATGATCTTGTTGCAGAGGACATTTTCGTGGATTCTTAAATTTGTGGATTGCCTTTTTGTGTAAGAGAAAAAAATGCAAATATAACATAATGCAAAATAATCTTACAACACACAAAATGAAATTTTGTTGGGTCTAATTCTTTGATTGACCTATCCAGAGAAATTTAGTGCCCTACAAATAATAATGATTTTACAGTACACATACATTATTGGGCATGAAATTTCATGATCTTGTTGCAGAGGACATTTTCGTGGATTCTTAAATTTGTGGATTGCCTTTTTGTGTAAGAGAAAAAAATGCAAATATAACATAATGCAAAATAATCTTACAACACACAAAATGAAATTTTGTTGGGTCTAATTCTTTGATTGACCTATCCAGAGAAATTTAGTGCCCTACAAATAATAATGATTTTGCAGTACACATACAAATTTTGTGATATTTCAGAACAAGCTTGGAGATACGCCATTGCATTCAGCAGCGTGGAAAGGGCATGCGGAAGCTGTAGAACTTCTTTTAGAGAGAGGTATATACATGTTCATGAATAATTATCTAATGTTTGACATAAAAACTATGTGTTACGAATTACACAAGTTTGAAGATGGCTATGTGACTCATTGATTAGTGTCTACCATACTTGACCATTTTTTTGTTTTCAGGTCTTTACCATTGCTGATAAACTAAATGAATGAATACATATTGCCTATATTAGTGCTCTGTCAAGCTGTAGTCATGATTATAAGGTCTAAGCTATTAATGTTAATGATTGCCGCTCACTGCTGTATGTGTGCATACTGTTATACTGTCTGTGCATACACTAACAATATAGTTGAAGAAAAGGTCAATGGTTATACCATGGTGCCTTGTTGTGCCTGTTTAAGTGTTAAGAAAGAATGTGTGGTTTGATTTTTATTTACACTCCATTGCGAAATAAATTCTTACAACATACATGTATATAAATCACTTTTGAGTCCACTTCCTGAACACCATCTCTTACCCTTTATGTTTGGTCTGAAAACTTACCATAATTACTACCTTTACATTTATCAGTGGGACTTAAACCCCTGCCAGATAAAATATAAAAACAGTCTATTATAAATACGGGGCCTCCGTGGCTGAGTGGTTAAGGTCATTGACTTTAAACTTCTTGCCCCTCACCGCTGTGGGTTCGAACCCCAACAGGGACTTTAGGATTTTTCATGTGAGGAAGCTATCCAGCTAGCTTACGGAACATCGGTATTTCTACTCAGGGGCCCGTTCATGCCTGAAATATTGCACGGAAGGGCACCTGAGGTCTTCCTCCACCAGTAAAGCTGGAACGTTGCCATATGACCTATACTGTGTCGGTGTTATGTAAAACCCAAACAAACAAACTATTATAAAATGTTTCAGGTGCGGATGCATGTATTAAGAACAGTGAAGGTAAATTAGCATACGAGCTTGCCAAGGACCCAGAGACCGCAGCTCTTGTTAGACAAGCAGGTAAAACATTTTATAATATGCATGTGCAAGATTTTTTTTGTTGGGAAAACTCATTGAAAAATTAGGTTTATATTATATATTAACGTTAAACCTTAATCAATTCTTTATTAGCAAAATAAACGACTTTGTATCTGGTATTGTGATGAATTTTTTTCAATGCCGATTTTGAGTTTCTCATTATATTTATAATTTTGACCCTGGTAGTAGATTTGAAAAATATATCATCTTTTTCTCACAAATTACTTTGTAAGAACTGATAAAATTATACTGGCTGTCATGCAATGTAATGTATATCCCATAATGCGGGAATGTTGAAAACAAAGACACAAAATTGTGCAATGATAATGCCAAAACTTTGCAGTGGTAACGCCAAATCTGTGCAATGGTAACGCCTTATTTGTGCAATAATGATGCCAAAACTATGCAAGGGCAACGCCAAAACTGTGCAATGGCGATGCCAAAACTGCAATGGCAGCGCCCAAACTATGCAATGGTACGTCAAAACTATGCAATGGTAATGCCATATCTCAATCTGTGCAATGGTAACGCCATATTTGTGCAATGGTTACACCAAATCTGTACAATGGTAATGCCAAATCTGCAATGGTAACCCCAAAACTGTGCAATGGGTACGCCAAATCTATGCAATGGTAATGCCAAATCTATGCAATGGTAACACCAAATCTATGCAATGGTAACACCAAACCTGTGCAATGGTAATGCCAAATCTATACAATGGTAACACCAGACCTGTGCAATGGTAATGCCAAATCTGTGCAATGGTAACACCAAATCTGTGCAATGGTAATGCATAAACTGTGCAATGGCAATGCCATATCTTTGCAATGGTAACCCCAAAACTGTGCAATGGGTACGCCAAATCTATGCAATGGTAATGCCAAATCTATGCAATGGTAACACCAAATCTATGCAATGGTAACACCAAACCTGTGCAATGGTAATGCCAAATCTGTGCAATTTTAACACCAAATCTGTGCAATGGTAATGCCAAATCTGCAATGGTAACCCCAAAACTGTGCAATTTTTTAAGACCAAATCTGTGCAACGGTAATGCCAAATCTATGCAATGGTAATGCCAAAAGTATGCAATGGTAATGCCATATCTGTGCAATAGTAACACCAAAACTGTGCAATGCTAATGCCAAATCAGTGGTAATGCCAAAACTGTACAATGGTAACACTAAATTTGTGCAATTGTAATGCCAAATCTGTGCAATCTAACACCAAATTTGTGCAATATGTCTGAATGTATGGATATATACATGGTGCTTAAGGTCTTTAAATTAATCATGAACATTTTTTTGTCTTCCAGCTGGTATGTCAAGAGCTTTGTCAGGGAATTATGATTATGGTGATGAGGAAGACTCTGATTAATCTCATTGGCTGGTTTCTTGTTGTCAAGTGCAGTTCTTTATGCTGATTGGTTGGTTAAAGTCATGTGACTTTCTGGGAGGACCAATCATATCATTGTGATATTAAAGGCTGAGTTATTGTTATTGACATTATGAAAAGTGTTACTGTACAGGTTTTTAATATGTTATTTAGAACTGTATTATTGTAATAAATTAGTATTGGATTAAGGCCAGGAGCTTTGCTGATAATGGGGGTTAATGACCTACTTTTCAGGAATATTTTATTTTAATTTGTTTGGTTATATAACCACTATGAAATAATATAATGTAAATGGCAATGCTTTCAAATTATATTAGCATTTAGAAATACAAAACACCATTTTAGAGGAAGAGACATTATACATGAACAAACATGTATATAGGTATATTATATTCACATGTATTCCTACATAACCCTTTATACAACAGACTAAAAAAAACAACATGTTCAGAGTAGAGAGAAAAAAGCATGTACAAAGTTGCAGATGAATGATAAAAACTTGCATATAAATTTTCAACAACAAAAAATGCATGTTTTATTCATTAACTTTATCATAAAAGTCATCATTTTAACTTTACTAGTTTCTTTTTTCAGCTCAATTTCATATAATAGTTTACTTTAAAAACATTCCTTTCCACAGTAACCAAAGAGTTATCTAATTTCTATACCCATCTAAAGGCTGTATCATTTAGCAGTGTTCAACATTATAATTAAACAGACATTCTGAAAAGTGCCGGTCAGACGGACCTGACCGGTAAAATTACGATGGACCTGACCGGTAAAATTACGTTCACACTGGGAAAAATTCCATCCAAGCCAGTCCGACTGTCCGGTAACAATGTTAAGATTTTACATTCAACTTTTACATAAACGATCTTCAATAACCATTCATTTAAACATCACTTATGTATAGGTCAGTGTTTATTATTAAGCATTTAGTATAGGTTAAACTTTATTAGTACTTATTTAAAAAATTTAATTGGTCAGGCGCAGCACAGCCGCACGACCAATTTAATTTTGTAAATGTGTACTAATAAATTTTAACCGGTTAGTATTTTGAATTATTTTTATAAACAATCGACTTACTAGACTGATTAACAGTTTGCAGATTTACCGAAGTAAATGTGTTACGATTCATTTGAAATACTGCAATCCTAATGGACAAAAAATAATTTTAAACACTGTTTGCTTAAAGATCCTGTAGCACAATTTTTTATGGTTTTAATTCTGAAATATGATGCTCAAATTAAGATTTATCAATATTGCAAGTTCCAAAAAGCATTATTTATAAAGATATTACCGAATTTAACATTTCATGTAAATAAAGGGAGGTAATTAGAAATTTATTTTCTATAAAGTCTAAGTCAAATTTTTCAATAAGAAATGAATGCATATATCTTAATGATTACATATAATGTGCACAAATATTTGCAGTACATATTTTACATATTGTTCGATGTTTGAAAATTGATTTAAAAGCCTTATTAGATACATATATTAAATTTCACCTAAGTGTGGTATCTACCTCAATTTCAATATACAGGATCTTAAAAAGTGGTCAACAACTAAGTAGGTTAATCTTCTATGTATAGCTCCTTTTGAAACTGTTTAATTCAAATATACTCCTCTATAACTTAAGTCATTTTTTTATCAGAGGTGAACAGAATTATGCAAAATTGGGACAAGTTTGTTAACTCACAATCTTTAACTTACTTACTTTCACATTGTTAAATATTTAGTGTAAAACATGTCTGTTTATGCTATTTTAGCTGTTAATGTGTAGATAATATGATTGTTAATTGATATCTAATTGGTCTATTTTTGCATACCCTCCTTGCAATGTTTTGAGATTATTTCAGTTTTATTCATTGATATATATATTATAATCATTGATTCTTAAATTGTCTTAACACAACATTGTTGTTATTTTGTTAAACTGATGTCTTCTTTTCTGAAATTATGCTGCTCTTTCTTTGTAAGTACAAGTATCTATTGTTTGTTAAAAGGGATTTAGATTTTAAACTTGTTTGTGGTCTGAATTATTGTAGTCGGCTCTTAACTGCAAACTCATAATTGATCGCATAACACAATTACCAGTTTAACCCCTGTACAATTTTATTACTATTTATAGTAACAAGGATATTGAAAAAAAAAATACATTGAATTATTTCATGTGAGGGAACTATTCACTAAGCTAACAGAACGTTTGTGGTTCTATTCAGGAGCAGGCTTGTGGCATAAACAATGCACTGAGAGGCAATTTAGGTTCTTCTTCCACAAGTTAAGCTGGAAAGTTGCCGTGTGAACTCTCCTGTGTTTGGTGGGACGTAAAACAAAACACAAATAAAAATTCTTTAAGGGTAATCAGGTGAATGCCTGATAATTACTATCACATGGCCTCTTTTCTGCTTTACTAGTAGGAGTCTAGATGTAGGGAAAACTTCTGGCATTTGTTGTTTTTCACCGTAATTTTGAGTCGTAAAATGAAACCATGAGTTTCCTTATACATTCTAACCTGAGCTAATGGTCACTTCTGAGTAATAGTCACTAACCAATCCCTATATAAATGGCTGCGAATAGCTGTCACTTGCTTTATGTCACCAGCGGCCGCTAGAACAGGCTTCCTCAAGACCATTTTGTATATTTTTTTTTAGACTTTGAAGTAACACAGGTACCTTTAAGGTCAAATGTCAACGATACTTTCTAGTTTAAACGGTTTAGGGAGATGTTAAGTATCTCTTCTTCATTTTGTTATTTGGACACTATTGAATGGACACAGAAAAAGAACAATCAACTTTCTATGAGCTTAATGGATTGACTCCATTCCTGAAATTTCATCGTTAATCATGTTTATTACATATCCATGGCTGGCAAAGTCATTTATCTGTGTTTGCCCAAGTTGTCCAACAGACTATGTAGACAGTAGTAAATTTTACTTTACTAATATCATATAATCAAGTAAAGAAACACATTGTACTTCAGATAAAAGGGACATGTCGTATTTTGCCGATCCACACATTTATTTATCATAATTATAACCCTGCCACTTCTATAACTTTGTAAAAACAGTATTGCACAGCCATGTATATATTTTGACAGGACAGTCATTTGCTTTATACAAGTATAGTGTAAAGATGTGTTAAATGTCATCATTAAACTATCAACACTTCAATGAAAAAGAGGTTCATTTTCACTGAAAAAAGTTCTTATATAGAATATTATATTTGTGTAGCTTCATTACTAAATGTATTGAACTTGTTGAACAAAATACTATTACACTTGCCAGAGGCCCGCATAATACAATTTTATTCAACTTGTTCAATGAATTGAATTGAATCTACATTCAATATCATCTATATATTATGACATTCAGATCACAACATGTTATTGTGCTTACATTTGTTTATATTTCAAGAACTTAACAACAAAACAGCAATTTCTCCTAATTTAAGGTACCGCAGTTTGTTGCATAGTTCTTGATCTTTTTGTACAGAAAGTCTAATTTTCTATTGTTAAATCTTAGATCTGCTTTTCAATTTAATTATTTCTCTATATAGTCTATTTAGATAATGTAATTATAATAAAAGATACTGAAATAAATTCTTAATATTTGTTAAATAGTTTATTATCTTCTTTTCCGTATTTTCTTAATGCCTAAATATGTGTGAATAATGGATATTGTATTTCATTATAAACAACGTCCCTGCAACCACTTCACTTAATCATCAAACTTGATAGATTTGGATGATTTTGTGTCAATGTAAAATTTCTTTCCTTCCTCTGGAGGTTTTTCGAAGCCTAGACCAATACCTCTATTAAGGTTCATAGACATGGCCCGATCGTATTCACTCTCCAAAGCTTTGGTGTACACATCTTCCTGCTTTTTATCCATGGCAAAGTTTCCACCAGTCCTTCTTGGTGTATTATTTGAAGAACCAAAAGCCGGTTTTTTACCGAGACTAAATTTATTTTGAATTTGAGACGTATCGCCGCCTTTCTTGAAACCTCCCAACAGTCGGAAAAATTTGTTTTGCCTATCTGAATCCCCTAATTCAACACTAGACCACTGTCCACTCTTAAATGATTCATTCTCAGTTGATTTTATAAAGCTTTTGTCAATTTCAGTTTCTCTACTGGTCTTTTGCTTACTTTCTAATTTATCTACTTCTTGATCTATTCCATTGACAGTTTTCACTCTTTCACAATGAACACTTCCCTGCTTGCCTTTAGTAGTATCATCAAGGTCATTAGAATCACTATCCTTGTGTTTCTGTTTATTCTTTTTCTTCTTCTTTTTCTTAATCTGTTGCTCAACTGCTTCATCCATTACAGCTTCAGATTCATCCATCTCTTTTCCTAGATTGGATTCAGCTTCAGTATCATCAAAGTGCTTCCGTTTTTTCTTGTGTTTTTCCTTTCTATGATGCTCAACTTCATCAGTGTTTTCAACTGGATTGTCTAACTCATATTTTCTCTTTTTACTTTTTTTCTTTTTTGAACAAGTGTCCTCGTGGTCTGCAAGTTCACATCTGTTTTCAGAAGCAGCTGTCTCTTCATCAGTTATTTGCTGACTGACTTTGTTTTCAAAACCAGCATCCTTTATATGTTTTCTTTTCTTCTTCACTTTAGAACTTTCATCATTTTGAATAGTCTCAGTTTTAGTATTATTGTTGGATATTTCATTCTCGCTATCATTTTCTAATGCCCTATCTTTACTCTTTTTCTTCTTTTTCTTTTTCTCTGTATTTGGAGAAATACAATCTGACACGCAACTTAATGTTTGAGGAATATCCGCATCTTCTATTCTATCTTGTTTATGTTTACGTTTGTGTTTCTTTTTCTTTGAAATTTCCTCATCCATCTTTATGTACAACTGGAGCTTATGACTGAAAGAAAAATTGGCAAAGGTCAGTAAAATAGCTAAGAAAACCTTGACAAACTTCATCGCCTACTTTTTATAAGTCCAGCAAGCACTGTTCAGTGTTGGTACCAGTCCAATTAATTAATTAGACTTGTCAGAGACATCGAGATAATTTTGGATGGGCGATGTCTTTTGACAATATGAAAAAAAGTCTGTAAAATGGTTCAAATAGTTTATGCTGAATTAATCAGGTTATACTGGTCCTAGCATAACGAGAAACTTTTTAAAAATCTTGTTCGCATACAAAATAATTCAATTTTTGAAAATTAAAAGTAATAAGTATGTTATATATTAAACATAGGAAATAGTTGAATTATTTAAAAGCATTGTTTTTTTTTCCTAGTTTGGTGTTTAGTTCTTTGATGAAAATGCCAAACGGTAACTACAATCTAATACTACATGTACTAGTAAGTCAGGTATCCAAAAAGTTGCTTTGGTGGACTGACTTTCGGGATATGACCGAAAATGTGTTAAAATCGCAGTGTTTATTCTAGGATTCGAAAAACAGGGGGGATTTTTATAGAAAAGTGAGAATTTATTACATTTGTTGATCTTTTTCCTTCTTTGTCTATGTAAAATTTTCCCCCTTCCTCTCAAAAAATAGGGGTGAATTTTCAAAATTATGGGTGAATCCCCCTATCGCCCCTCCTAGAATAGACACTGAAATCGGTGTTAAAAAACAAACAAACAAAAGAAGTTTTGACCAGAACAGATGACATTTATCTGCTAAAAATAAGTGAGTTTGTTTGCTTTTAACACCAATTTTAACACATTTAATCAATCTCCTGGATTAGTCTCAATATTTCGACTGCAAGACTGACCAATTTTATAATCTGATATTTCATAGATGTCGAAGGGTGACCAAAGTCTATATAATAAAAATCCCTAAAGCGCACAATTTGTTGAGCTATCTCCTGGATAATACCCCTATGTATATTTCAGAAGTATAACTTGTATATAATACACTAAAGAAAACGGAATGAACCTTATATATACTCCTGGTTTAGATCGGGGATAGTGTGAGTCAGTTATATTGTTACAGTGGCACACTACCCAAAAGGTCATTCTCACGGTTGGGTCAGTAGTTTTTACTAGGCAATATACATGTAACTGTTGATTTAACTAACATAATTATTTCAACTTTGAATTGAAAACGAATTTGAGGTTAAAGTATATTAAAAGGGCATTTTTACAGGAAATACAAAAGCACTTTCTAATCAGTAAAATAGGCCTTGTACAATATCTCTTAATTAACTTTTTGTAGATCTTGAAAATGTATTTGTACAATTTGTAGAACTTTCGGCTACAAAAAAAACAAAACTTTGTACATGTAGTTTAGCATGCTTTTCATGACTTTGTGCACATCACTTTCTCTTCTCTCCTTGACACTGAACTGACCAGACGTTCCTTTTCTTTTGGAGTGGAAAACTTCAACTACATTTAATATATCAGGCAAGTAATTTATTATTATTATTCATTTGGTCAAAACTGTAATAATATGCATAAACACCGTTTTGATTGAGGCTTGTAATATATTATCCGAAAAAATGCGTGTCCGAACTCCATCCCAATAGTACACGTTTCTTCAGAAACTGTACTGTAACGGGCCTGAAAACAGAAACTTTTAAGACTGAATGTATGTAACTAACCATAAAATGTCTCTTTCACAAACTGCCACAAAATAACAAGGAGAAATTACCTGAGAATTAGTTTTTAATCAAATAAATTTCCAAGTACGTAGTCGCTAATCATTAAACGAATGCAATAAAATATCGCTTTCGTCCTGAGACACATTTTGTCTCATTTCAATTTCACGTAAATTTGCAAAGAGATTTATAAAGTTCGTGTTCAAACAATAAGAATATTGTATGGGTATCGGACTCCTTATCTGAAAATCATGTGTTCGAATCTAAACGATGGTAATATAGGTCAAAGGTGCTAGTGGCATTGATTTGCCCTAAATATCCATATATTACCAAAAAAGAAAAAAAAATACTGTTATATTGTTATAGACACAATATAACAGTTTTTTTCTCTCTTTTTTAATATATGGATATTTAATTGCATAAATAACAAGGTTAAACACATTTTAGATCAAATCAATGCCACTAGCACCTTTGGTACAGGTTTTCGGCGTGGGACCAATTAAACCCTACCCCAAGGGACCCATCCGGGTTCCCTAGGTCCCTCTATCAGAGACTTCTAAAGCTCTCTGCCTCTACACTACCAAACTATCTTAATGTATGGTGGCTGATTGGGTCATGCAACGCGACTTACCCCGAGTGAGATTGACCTATTTTCTCCTTCACATATGGTGTTCTAGCGCACATCTGAATCCCGCTAGGGACTTAGGATTCATTAAATTCATGTGAGGTAGCTATCCATCAAGATAACCGCACGTCGGTGGTTCTAATCATGTTTGCATGTCCTAATTAGAAGTTTCATAAACTTATAAGGAGAAATAAAATTTGTATTTGTTCATTGCAAAAAAAAATCCTAATTAGAAGTTAAAAGAGTACTAATTAAGATTTCATTTGTCAACTCATAATATTTTCATTTCTGCTATTTAGGTTTTAATTCAAAACTCCTTATTAAGAGTTACAAAGTTGTATTTAAGTTTACTTCTCCTACATGCAACTATGAGTAAAAATTATTTATAACGTTATTTTTATTAAACCTTTTAAAGTCCTAATTAGGCTTCTGTTACTCTTCACTAAAAGTGAAGAAAAAGCCCTGAATATGCTTTTAAACTCCTTATATCGAGTTAAACTAATTTTAAAAACATAGGATTTTGCAACAGAAGACGGTTCCATACCACAACACCTTTGAAAATATTGTCATTCGTAGAGATTTTCGACCATAAGACTATAATATATTATACACGCATCGAGATCAACATAGTGTACGGAAAGTGACATTCGACCGGGTAAATTATTATATATGTAGTTTCTAAAAGATACAATATTTATGCATAAACACGTATACAATATATAAAAAAAGATTGCACAACGGACGTTTGTCCTTCCAAAATGAAGAGAAAGAAATATATATATGCATTTCCTAGAGGTAATCTAGAATGCTATTTGGTACATAACCATCATACAATATCAATCGGAATTCCTCGGCTACAAGTCCTTGACTGTCGTGTTTTCATCATCGTACTATCGCGTTTTCACCATCGTACTATTGCGTTTTCACCATCGTACTATTGCGTTTTCATCATCGCACTGTCGTGTTTTCATCATCGTACTATCGCGTTTTCACCATCGTACTGTCGTGTTTTCATCATCGTACTATCGCGTTTTCATCATCGTACTATCGCGTTTTCATCATCGCACTATCGTGTTTTCACCATCGTAGTTGCGTGATTTCGTGTTTTCACCATCGTACTATCAACTATCGCACTTAATTCAGATTAACACATTCATAGGCAATGGCCCTTACGGCATTCCGGAATGCCGTAAGGGTCATCGCCTATGAATGGTTTGATCTGAAACGCTATACTCGACAGTACGATGATGAAAACGCGAAATCACGAAACTACGATGGTGAAAACGCGACAGTACGATGGTGAAAACACGATAGTTTATCGCGTTTTCATCATTGTAGTATCGTACCGTCGCGTTTTCATCATCGTACTATCGCGTTTTCATCATCGTACTTTCGCGTTTTCACCATCGTAGTTTCGTGATTTCGCGTTTTCACCACCGTACTATCGACTATCGCGTTTCAGATCAACACATTCATAGGCGATGGCCCTAACGGCATTCCGTACCTGACAAGATGGGATTGCAGTCAAATAGAAAAACCTATTCGACTGTGGTTTCTCGAAAGAAGGCACAGATATATTCCCGTGTAACTGCACCAGATACGTGTATTTCAAATTACAAAACAAAAATCAGTTTGTTAAAGATTTTCAAGATAGTAGAATATAATTAAATCAATCACTTTTTATTCGCGCAACACAATAGTGTAACAAAATTGACTTAAAGGCACATTTCTTTTTAGTAACGTCATTTTTTTTTGCTCTAGAAAAAAGTCAAGCACTGTGTTATGCGTTAAGAATTATGTAACTCACGATGCCTATACCCAGGGTCTTCAAATAGACGTCTTTTGTATCACACAAATTACAAAAAGTCACGTGGTACCTATCGCCATCGTGAACTAGTGATTAGAGAAGGTGAAGAATTTCATAAGTCTTTCATTCGATTCCTGTTTTTTAAAAGAATATTTGAACTGCTTTGTGTATATTGTAAATTGTAACATGTATATATATTCTGAGAAATAAAATATGTTTAAAGGGACTCCACTGATCATGAGGTTTCTAGACATGATGGAACTGGAAATAATTTTCCAAAACAAATGTTCCATTTGATGAAGGTCCAGACCAATAACGTGTGTGCAAAGTTTCAGACCATTTGTTATATTTCGTTTTTTCCCAGAATAAATATTCTACTTTTAAAATATGACCCAAAATGATAAGCGTTGAAACGATTTTTACTCAATCGGGCTAGGAATAGCATTTTAATATGCTTTTCAAATCATTTCTGAGTTTATTTCTTGGTTTTCTTTTACATATCTTTCTGTTTTAAGTGCCCCAGCTGATATATGAAAGAATTTAAAATGTTATGTTTATATACTTGTGGACCTCAGTGGAGTTCCTTTAAACTAACCATTGATTGT